CTCCTATTTATTTCCATGGAAACTACAACGGATACAAAGAACACAATAACTCCATTTGACAGAGGAAATTCTCAGCTACAAAACAGTTTTTCAACATAAGCACCATCATTAGCTATGCATTTTCACCAGTGATAAACTAGAGCCTACATGCCATGCTCATAAAAATCTGTACCAGTGGAGATGATCTACTGCTTCACAACTGCTATGACAGCATCGCTGCAATGAAAATGAAATGAAAAAGAAAATGTTGCCCCCAGAGTCCATCATTCATCAGCCCAAGCAGATGGAAGTCACAAGGTGCCAGAAGTGGACTATAGGGTGGATGTGGTAGCACAGTCCAGCCACAACTGGCAATGTGTTTTATGGCCTTCAAAGTGGTACGGGTCCTGATGTTATTGTACTGCAAGGGAAAGGTTGCCTTCTTCTCTGGCTCAACTCTGTTCAAGCCTGTAGCTTAGTCAGCATCACAAACATAACAGTCAGAGTCGATGGTTTGTCTGGGTTCCAAGAAATCCAGAAGAATCACCCCCTTCCTATCCCACAAGACAGTGCACATTGCTTTACCCACTGAGGTCTGCATCCTGAGCTACTTCTTCCATGGCAAATTCACATGTTGCCATTCCAAGGATTGCTGTTTTGAAGCATTTGATTTCAGCTTCCCCAGGGCAGAGCTACAGTTTTCATTAACTTTAGTATTTGGGACACAGAAGATACAACATCTCCAAGGTTTATCAGCACCACCTTTTGAGGATGACTGTCCCCTCAGGTAGATGCTGACAATAAAAAGAGGCTCAAATAAGTCACTGCACTGATTCTAAGTCACAGACATAGTGCAACAGGCAATGGATGCTCCCAATCTCCGTCAATCCAATGAAAAGGGAGAAAGAGAAGATGCAAGGATGTCCTCCAGCCATGAAGGTTTTACCACAAGGAACAGAAGTTAGATAGGGTCCAGCAGTCAATCTGTCCACCAACTTTAATCTTCAGCTTTATAATACTTCATTACCAAACAGTTTAAATCATAGAATTGCTTTTGTTAGAAGGAACCCTTAAAAGTCATCTGGTCCAACCCCCCCGCAAAGAACTCACAGCTCAGAGTTCTCCAGCCTGACTCTGCATGTGTCCAGGGATGGGGCACCCACTGCCTCTCTGGGCAACCTGTGCCAATGCATCAAGTACCCTTATCAAAAACAGATTTATTCTTATATCTAGTCTAAACCTTTCCTCATTCAGTTTGAAACAATTTCCACTTACCCTTTCAGAACAGACCCTGCTAAAGAGTCTGTTCCCTTCTTTCTTATATCCCCCCTTTAGACACTGAAAGGCTGCTCTCAGGTCTCCCCAGAAACTTTTCTTCTCTAAGCTGAACAGCCCTGACTCTCTCAATCTTCTCTCTCACAAGAAGGTGTTCCATCTCTCGGATCATTTTTGTGGCCCTTTTCTGGACACACTCCAACAGGTCCATACCTGTCCTGTACTGAGGACTCCCCATCTGGCCGCAGCACTCTAGGTGAGGTCTCACAGCACAGAGCAGAGGTGCAGGATCACCTCCCTCGCCCTGCCAGCCAAGATCCTTCTGATGCAGCCCAAATACAGTTGGCAAAATGAAAGCAGGGTTCTGGATACCATGAAGTTCTCCTATACCTGACAGATCCACTCACACCTTTCCTTTTCCCTGAGATCTCCTTTTACTTTTTATTTCATAAGCAGTGACAGCTTCCCAATTCCAGCACACCAACTCCCCAGCACATCCTGCAGCGTGTTTTATCGCACACGTCGGCCGCACCCAACCACTTACCTACCCGAGGGCTCTTATGCCGCCAGATCTTCCACGAGAAAACCTTTGGACAAACATTGAAATTTCAGAGTTACTAAGCACCCTTAACAAAACAGGAGCTGGACACGCGCCTGCTGACAGCCCAAGGTTATCCTCCTCGCTCTCCCTCCCTTCGGAAGGTCCCTTCGCTGCCCTCCGCCCCTTGACGTCCCCACACGCCGCCGACCCGCAGAGTGCGGCTGTGGCTGGGGTTTCCCAAGGCTCACGGGCCACGCGCGGAGCCGTCCCCGCGCCTCACGAGGCCCCGCGTCGCGACGAGCGCCCTGAGGGGCGCCACTCCGTCACGGCCCTCTCCCAGCGGTCCCCGACGGCCGCCGCGCCTCCCGACCTCACCTCGGGGCCTCCGCCGGGTGCGGGTCGCTGAGGGGCCGAGGTGTCGCCGGCTCGGGGCCGCCTCACGCCGCCGTCGCTGTCGCCGGAGCGGGTGGGGGAGGGGCGGGCGGAGGCGGAGGATTTGAAAGCCGGCAGTTTTGCTCTCCCCGCTCCCATTGGCTGCAAAGCGCTGCGTCACAGAGGGCCGCCCCGCGCGTGACGCCACTCGCCGGAGTGACGCAAAGGCGCTCGTGGGCGGGGCCGCGGGGCACGCTGGGATATGTAGTCCTGCGGAGGGGGGCATTCCCGGCGTGCCCCGCGTGGGGGCGCCCTGCGGGGCCTGGATCTAGGATTAGGCTTCCGTCTGCTGTGGAGGAACTATTTGATATGGCAAATTCTCAGCGACAAAGCGCTGTTTTTCGATTTAGTCACCACCGTTAGCTGTCTGTTTTCACCAGCAAGGAACAAGAGCCTGCATGCCATGCTTGTAATAATCTGCACCCCATTTGACCATCGCTTGCTGCTGAAAGGCACCACCTACTGCCTCACTGTGCTCACGTCTGTTTGGTCTCCGTCAGCACCCAGCAAGCATCACTGAATGTTAACAGATGCCATTTTTTTGCATGGAGGAATTCAGTGACGCACCTTTGCTTCATACACGCTCCCATGTCAGACGCCATTTTGTCAGACTGCCCCTCTGCTGCCATCTGTGGCACAGCTGCAAAGTGTAACAGGATATCGGTGGGAAGGTTCAACTTCTACTTGCCCTACCGCCATCGTGCAGCTTTCATGTCATAAGCCAACACCGTAACATAAAGCGGCATTGCTTTCACAACTGCCACTGTATGAGCAAGAAATGTGGCACTTGTCGTTAGTTCATCACAGCCTAAAGCAATAACCAGGATTGTATCAAATATACCCAATTCTTTCCTCTTTCTCCCAAATATTGGCTGAGCCAAAGGATCGGGGATAAAACCTTTTAATTGTGGCTGCAGGCGTAGTGCAGTGAATGTGTGCTGTGCCATTGCAGCATAGGTCGATAGAATAATTCTCCTTACAAGTATAACTTTACACGTCAAAGTCAGTTTTATGACACTGCCGTATTTTGCAGTAGAGATTTGCAGCATTTTGACTCTACTGAATATAAAACCTGGGTAACCATGTTTCCAAATTATAAGAATTTTCATAGAATCACAGAGAATCATAGAATTGTTTGAGTTGGAAGGCCATGTAGTCCAACTCCCCCACAATGAACAGGGACACTTACATCTAGAGCAGTGTGCTCAAAGCCCCTCCAGCCTCACCCTGAATGTCTCCAAGGATGGATACCCACAACCTCTCCAGGCAACCTGTTCCAGTGTTCCAGTCTCTTATCATAAGCAGCCTTTTCCTCATTCCCAGTCTAAATCTCCCCTCTTTCTGTTTGAAACTATTTCCCCTTGTCCTACCACAACAGACCCTACTGAATAGTCTGTCCCCTCCTTCCTTATAGTCCTCCTTAAGATACTGAAAGGCCCCTAATCTTCAATTAACCCCTGAGGAAAGGCACCATTTCACGAGCAGGACAGCATTTGCCTTATGTCCCTTATGGGGCAGCTCTTAGTATTACAGACAAAGGAAATAGGTGCTGTGTGAAGTGACATTCAATGCGGAAACTCAGTCTTGAAAAATAATGTTGTATAAACTGTCCTGTATAAAAATATAATGCTTTTTCCAGTATAACTCCTGATTGTGAATAGATCATGGTTTAGTGCCTCTTTCTCCTTGGCTTCTCCTAGGTGCTCTTGTTCCTCTCATCTAGCTGCAATTTTTATCTTGCCTTTCTGACAGTGAGCTTTGAGAGCATGGTTGGAGGCATCCTGGGCTCTGTGACTCACTCAGCGCCCCCTCCCTGGAGGTGTTTAAGTAAGAGGTAATGAATCTGCTGAACAGGTAGCAAAAATAAACATTGTCCTATCCCTGAATCAGAGTAGTCTTTGGGTTGTATTGGACAACATAATGAATATCTAAAAAAAAAAAAAAAAAAAAAAAAAAAGTAGATTGTTATTAAACATAGTGAAGAGAGTAGGACAATGTCCTCCAACATCATATGGTATATTATACAATCCACTATATTTTGTAAATTATCAGTTTATTGTGTTGACAGGATTACCAGCAGCCAATCCTACTGTCTATCAAGTATTTCCTTCTCTGGTTAAAATATTCTAAATACTAAGGAGTTTTAATACGTTTTGGATGATACTTTCTACCCACACCTGAATATTACCTGAGATGTTTTTCTGCAAATCACTGAGTGACACTGTTTTGGGTCATGGTAAATAGAGGAGTGAGGCACTGAGGAGTAAACACGTCCCTGATTACATGTGAAAAAGGGGGATAATTTAAACTGGTGTCAGTCTGGAAATTATGACCTGATGGGAGACAGAAGTATTTGGGGAGTGGAGAACCCATCCTACCAGGGAGGCTAGGTTGGGAGCCAAGCATAATGCTCATTTCAGAGGGATATTTGAAGTCAATGGCATTGCAGATGGCGGGGAGGGATGAAACCTTTATCTGAGGTGATCTGTGTACCTCCATGTTAACATGTGGGGTGTTGTGGCTGTGTAGTTCATTTTCCAGAAACACTGAAGGTTTTGAGATGAGAACAAGCCAAGCATTTAATTCCAAAAAGATTTTATTTAATTCAAAAAAATTTTATGTGCATGTAAGTTACACATATGTCTTTTGTATAATATGCAACAGTATATAGTGGAATAATATTAATATTTTATATATACACACAGTATTTTCATTTCCACAGGAAGGTTCATGTTTGTAGATCCTATTTTCAGGGAAGCTGTCAGCAGTGTGGGATGCAGTAAGTGCATTCCAGACTGAATAAATCATTAACAACGTTGTATTCAAATCAAGAACAGAGCTTCAAATATTTCAGTGCTTTATTATGATTATTTTAAGCCTAATTCGACTTAAAGAATCTCAACACCGTCCAAGAGGGAAAGCTGCACGCATGTAGGCTGTGGGAAGCGGTAGCCTCTAGGGCCCAGAGGATATGCGGGAGGCATTTTCTCTGCTGGTGCGGCTGCGAGCGAGCAGAGCGAGAGACCTGGAAATGAAAGTAAAGAGCTCAGGAGGCACATGGAGGGAGCTGCAGGGGCAGCCGATCCACAAGCAGAATGCTCCCTCCTATAATTAAATAACACTTACTGTTATTATTACTTATAGTAATAATACGTTAATAATACCTCTAGTAATATAATACCATTTATCGAGGAAAGTTATACGTAGCGTGGGGGGGAGAACCCGAGGAGAGGTGAGTCCTTTATGATTATTTTATTATTATTATTAAACCGAATGGCTATGTGTGTGTATGTGTGTGTGTAGAGAGGGGGTGGACTTGTGAAACGAGAAAATCTGGACATCGCTTCATTAAAAAGTAAAGGTTTCCAATGCTGACTGCATAGATGCAATGTTGTGTAATTGCAAAAAAAAAAAAAAAAAAAAAAAAAAGTGGGGGAAAATGATACTGGCGATATTCAGAAGCTAACCCCCCGCTTCTGCCAAAAAATGTGGGGCTTGCAAAAAAATAATTGTCAGAGATCCTAATCCCACCCCCCGGAAAAAATGTGATGGTAGTCTGAAAGTGAATAGCGAGGGGAAAAGCCCCTGGGTTTCTATTAAGAACTTGGGGCTCATTGTGCTCGTGGCTCGTAGCTTTCAGGACTGCTTTTGGGGCTGTATTTGCGTTGCAACTCTCCCTCCTGTTTGGTATAAGCCCCGCTGAGCAGCCGAGAAGCTCAGCTGGAACAGCTTCCCAAATGCACCTTCCTTAGGGCTTGTAAAGTTTATCAAATGAGAAGGTTCTGCTTTTGTATTTGTTTATTTTTTGTCTTTAATTCTTAATGTTTTAAGCAGCTTCCGGGTAGCACGAGAGGTTATTTTTAAATTTTATTTTATTTTATTTTATTTTATTTTCCCTTTTTCGTAGAGTCTCTCCCCCTCCCCCCAGACTCCTGGAGATGCGTGGTTTCTATTGAAGCGGAGCGGAGGAGGAAGAGTATGTTTGGGCTTCTTTTCCGTTTTCCGGGAAACCTAGCTATTTCCCCCCGGCAGCACCGGGAGTGGGGTGATGCCCGGGTGCGGGCACTCGGTGGAGCCCCGGGGGCTCGGAAGGCACCACCGGCCCCACGCAGCCCCGGCCGGCGGAGGTGGCGCTTCCGCCCGCGGTGGCCGCTACGCGAGGCCGGGGATCGGCGGCCTAGTGCTGCGGGTGGGGGAGGAGAGCGGGAGCCGTGAAATCAGACCTGACGTTTACATTTTAAAATGAGGCAGGGGAGGACGAGCTGGGCGGGCAGGAGGCCTTGAGTGAGTGGTCGAGGGGCTGGCAGTGTAATCCCACTGCCCAAGCTGTGCTGCTGGGGCAAGAGGAAGGTGGCCTGCAGTAAACAGTGGGTGGGAAGCCTGATGGAGCCAAAAAGGGGGTGATGAGGACCTGGGTGCTCTCTTGAGGCTTTGCCCTGGGGAAACATCTGATGGCTGCTTTTATTTTCAGCTGGGGCTAGTTTCACATTCACTGGAGACTGGACATGGTCATCATTTCTGGCTGGATGGGGGAAAGTTCTATGAGCAGTGGCTGAGGAACTGGTGTTGTTCATTCTGGAGAAGAGGAGGTTCAAAGGAGACTTTATTGCTGTCTAGAAAAACCTGAAAGTTTGTAGCGAGGTGAGGTCAGCCTCTTCTCCCAGGTAACAGCAATAGGATGAGAGTTAATGGCTTCAAGTTGTACTGGGGAGGTTCAAGTTGGACATTAGGAAGGATTTCTTTTCAGAATGAGTGATGCTGCCCTGGAACAGGTTGCCCAGGGAGGTGGTGGAGTCACTATCCTTGGAGGTGTTCAAGAAACATATGGTTGTGGTAATTAGGGATGCAGTTTAGTGGGTAATATTGATGGCAGGTATATGGTTGGGCTGAATGATTTTAGAGGTCTATTCCAACTTCAGTGATTCTATTATTCTATCCTGAAAATTGTTGTTTGTGAGAAGTGTTCAGACTTAGGGAGCAGCCTCAAGAAACAAACTGGAGCCCTTATTTGTGGCAGGCTTGGCCTGTTTTGCTTCACCACCATGATGGCCAGATTATAGCCAAAGCCTTCATGCTTGCAGGCTAGCAAATCCTGTGTGGAGGAGAGCACACAGCCAGTGGCTGAGCTCCTGTCTGAGCTCTACAACCTGCCACTTGCATTTCAGTGTGCTCATTTCTGGCTGAAATGTTGCAGTCCAAGCCTAGAAGCCAGATAGATATGAACTCATTGCTATCGCAGAAATATACTGTGAAAAACTTTGTGCATATTCAGCTTTGTCAGGGCTCTTGATAAGGCAAATTAAAGTATTTCTATTCATCTCATATTCTCTCATTGAATGAATCTACCTGGTTTGTGACTGAGTCACTGTGTTTACTGGGTTGTGTTTTCTTCTGAAAGCAAGAAAACTGTTGTGCCAATCTGCAGTATTTTATTTTTATCTGACAAACTCATTGACAAACCACGAATAAATTCCTCTCCAGATGTTGGATCAGAGCGGACGAACATCTCAACTGAAATGAGAAGAGCTTTTTGGTGGTGATATAAATATCCTGGATTCTAATTCTGGTAGTGACTTGAGCAGACAAGTCTGGACAGACAGATTTGGGGGGAAAAAAAAGGACGTTCAGGCACAGTGCTTGATGAAATGTTTTGTACTGTGTTTCTAAAAATATTTACGTGACTGAGAAAACAAAAGCTAAGCAGGCTCTGTGCTTAAAATTAGTTATGCATCAACTATGGTATGGTGTGCAACAGAACCAAAGCACTGTGTGTGTCAATGGCTGATTGTACTCTGGGGTTACAAACATAATGAGTGTGCGGTTTGGTATAAGGTTAGAGTGGGACTTGATGGTGAAGAGGCTGGAGTGACCAAGAAGAGACTGAGTTTGCCAGGAATGCAACAGGGGGGTATGAAAGGGCAAGAGGAATCTGCAGTGGCCGTGGAGCATGCCAGAGGGAAGAAGGGAACACGTGGAGGAAGGTGCTGCTGTGGAGTCAGATCAAATAGGAAAAATGGTTGTTCCTGAGAGAGATAAAATAGGTTGTTAGGGCAGCGGCATGTGGTGTGCATTTTGAGGGTGTTGCCATGAGAAGATGAGTCTTATGTGTGAAATTATGACATAAATGTGAAGGTGTGAAGGAGTGCTAGCAGAGGAGGCTGATTACCAACCTATAAGGAAAGAGGAATGTGGGGCAGCACCAGAGCGCAATACTGTAGAGGGGCAATTGAACCTGTGGTCTGTGTCTAAAGAAGGCAACAAAGAGTCTTGTGTTGGGAAGCACTAGCTGTAGAAGATGAGTCTCAGACTGCCAAGAGGAAACAGTGTGCAGGGAACAGAAGTTCTTTTTATGAGAGTTTTTTATCAAGGATCAAATCTTTACGAGGGTATTGTGGGATGTAAAGATGATCAAGCCATTTAAGTGAAGCAAGGATGGAAATGGGTATGCTGGATCTGATGGCCATGAGATTAAAAATAAGGGGAACTCCAGGATGCAAGAGGAGTTGGGTAACTGTAGGAAAGAGATGTTTTAGAGCCTTTTTTTGCAGGCCTTTGGCCCCACTCCACCTTTTTGTCAGTGTTTGAATGCCACCCTGTGGACAAACAGCAGTGACCAGTTCTGGTTGTAACACATGCCAATGTCTTGCTGTGGAAGATGTTCAGCAGTGGATCAGGGTAGCCATCAGAAGTGGTACTGATCTTCTCTTCCTCGCTCCTTGCAGTAGTATTTTGAGAACAGGGCTGAGCTCAGTAGCAGAATTGAAGCATGCTGTGTATATCAGAAGTATTTTAAGGTGATGTATCAGTTGTGTGGATATACACAAATGTGAAGATGTGCCACGGTATTTTTGGAGTGCAGTCATTGACTTCTGCTTTCCGCAGGCACCAATAATATCCCTTTCCATCAGGTCTGTGGGCCACAACTTTCCTTCTGTTCTTTGTGTTCTCTCCAGCGTGGCTTGTGTTGAGGACCAGCAAGAGCAAGGCTTCTCCAAGGAGGACAAGCCTGACTTTTTTCTCCAGCTCTCATTGCTGTCTGTGTGCACATAGCTCCTGCTTCTTCTCGTCTTGTCTGTTCTCTCTTCTGTCTTTTCGGTTTTGTGCAAGGAGAAATACTGAATGAGATGACTGTCTTATTTTCTACCATTCAAACCTGTCTGCTTGTAGCTTCTGTGTTCATATTAACCTCACGGTCTCCTTGTTAAATTTCTCTCTTCCTGATTGCTCATTATCCAGGTTATTTATAAACCATTCCAGGCCTTCTGGTGGTGGTGTGCTGAGGTCTACCAGCTCTTCTCCATTGCTTCTGTTTAAAAGCCTTTATAGAGACACTGATCATCACTCACCTTCTCTGCATGGCATTCTGGCATTCCCCTGCTTGCTGAGCTGCCCATCCCATTCCACATACAGCTGCTTAAAATCTTCTGCCTGCTGTTTGGACCAGATTGCTCTCATATTTAATGTCTGATGACTTACAAACAACACTGTATCACTTTCAAGCCCTTGCTTACTTTTGCTGCCTTTGCTTCTTGGTCTTTATCTCATTTCTTTTCTTTTCTTTTCTTTTCTTTTTTTTTTTTTTGCCTATATTTCCTGGTAAAGGGCAAGTATCAGCCATTCTGCACTTTGCATAGTGCAGAGCATAATCAGTAAGGGCTTGCTTAGCTGCCAGGATTGATTTTCATGTACCTTAAAGGTTCCTTCACAGTGTTCTGGGCTGATCATGCTGCAGGTACCGTAAGATACATTAGATTGGTAGAGACATCTGTAATATGAAAGGGAGCCAGGTGGTAATGCTCTCCAAGAAAAATGACTTTTGTTTTTATCCTAATCTTTTCAGAGGCAATCCCAAGCTGTGGCTGCATGTTGTCTTCAGTTCCATCTCAGTGTTTTTGAGCTTGCTGTCTTTGTCCATCTGTGTGCATGCCTATGGGAAAATGTTCCTCCGAGTCCTCCTGAGGCCACAATTCAAAGCACTGCAGGGGGGGGGGGGGTCCCCTCTCCCTGAAGCATCCTGGAGCCCTGTTCCTGCTCCCAACGAGCATTCCCAAGTCTCTGCTGCACTTGTGCACTTGTCAACTGATTTTCAGCACAAAATATCCATTGCTGAGGTCCTTTACTGTCTTTTTATTTGTACCACAGCAAGAAATTCCACCTCCTTCCCAGTGCCTCACTGTGATATGATTCCAGATGCCCCACATAAATTACTTGTTTGGTATGCAAGGATGTTGTAAACCAGTTTGAGTCTGGCCCAGTGGTCGGAATTGCTTATCGTGGAAGGGTCCACATACAAATTCTTGAAATCTCTGCCAGTGCGGGGGAAGTGTTTATTTTTTCCCCCTTTCCTAGAAGGCAGTCATGATTGCAGTTGGTTCCCATTGCTTTGTTTATTGGCAGTCTAAGCAGTGAGCTCAAATTGAAGCAGTTCCTCTTTGCCTGTGTATCCTGGCAGTGGCATGTGAGAAAAAGCAGATACTGGGTAGCGAGCTGCTTGTCGTCCTTTGTCTGCAGTGTGGATAAATCATGGGCTTCAGTGTTCTGTGCGTTTGGGCTGGTATATTTTGTTGGTAGTAAGTTGAAGCGCACACAAAATACTGTGCTGCTTAACTGCCAGCAAGACCTGTAATGACTCATTTCTTTTTTTTTTTTTTTTTTTTTTCTTTCTTCTTCTGCAGTGATTGTAATGGAGAGACAGAAGAGAAAACAAGAAATAGAGAAAGGACTTCAATTAATTCAGTAAGTGGACAACCTCATTGCTTCCTGTGGCTTGGGAGGTGGTTATCTTTGTATCAAGGATTGCAAGGATCAAGTTCTTTCTGTTCACCTTTCTCAGGAAGACAGTATTCCTATTATGTAGGTGAGGAAAGGAGGGTAAATGCCAGGTGCCTCGTACACTGCTGTTACCAGAAAGAGATGACCTGGGCTCTGTTGCAGTTGCCAGCCTGGTCATTGCCTCCAGTCACTCTTCTGCAAATATTTTGTGGCTGCCTAGAGCTTGTGGTGATTTCCTGTGTGGTAGCTACAAGTTCAAGCACTTCCTTATGAAGTGTGGTCATGCTTTTCCCTCCAGTAGTTGAGTTGGCAAAAGATTCAAGGTCCAAGTGACATGATGAGTAGGGAAGAAATAAGATTAGAATAAGATTTCTTTTCTTACGGTGTGCTTTGAATCCTGCAGTTATATGAAATCTGTCCATCCACAGTAGAGAAAAAAGCCAACTCTTCCAAGTTATGTACTGACATCCTTTGGCATGGCCATCATATTTTTACCCCAGTTTGAAATTATGTGAGGCTGGTAACCAGTTTCAGACAGAAAGTTGTGAGGTTTATTTTGGTAATGTTTATAAAAATGTGTAAGGTTCCCATAAATGAAATAATTTAGAAATAGAGGATGTTGTCTGTGTTTCTTGAATGTGTCTTAAACTCTGAACCAGGGAAAGTGTTATTCATTTGCTTGTTTTGGGGTAGTCCAACTTTATAAGCAGTGTGAATGTTTCTTACAAAGCCATTACATTTCCTGTAGTTAGTTTTAAGGATTTGTACTGATGAAATTTTAAAAAGTTTATTCTCTGACCAGTAAGGCCATGTATATGGTGCTGTATTTCAAAGATGAGGAGGGACATGAAGATTGCTAGAGATTTCTTGAAAACTTTATGTCGTCTCCAGGAAAAATAATATGTGTGGAGCAAACAGGTGCTCTGATTTGAAGAACAGAACCTTTTGCCTATGTCTCGAGGCTGTTGTGGGGCAGATGTAATCCACACAAGCACGGCCAGTTCTAGTACACAGACTGGCAGTCTTGGCCAAGGCAGCAAGGATTGAATGGTTTCTTGCACCTCCAATGTTTTCTCCTTTCATTGTGTTTGTGGTGTAGTTCTAAAGGCATGTGGCTGAGGTAACGGGGAGGAAAGTGATTGCATTTATCACTGTCTTTTCCGTGACTGCACAGAGGATTTGAGGAGATCTTGAAGTGACCAATCTGTTGCCTCTCATCAGGGCTAGGTGCATTTATGCTCCCATTTTCTATAACAACCTCACATGAGATTTTCTCAGAAATGTTTTTTTTTATAGGTGGCTGTCTGGAGGCATGTGACAAAATATCACGTGATATGCACAGAAATATATATATATATATTATATATATATATATATATTATTATATTATATTATATATATATATAATATAATATAATAATAATATGCACAGAAAATAGCTGAGAATAAGATTCCTCTTGTCTCAAATACCTTTGGGACCTGGCCGTCTCTTGACATCACTGTGTCCATCACTGAGCATAATGGTTCCTAATTGTGTTCTCTTCACCCCAGCTGTCTTTTAAGTGATAAAACATTCAGTAAATCACTGAGATAATCAAAACAGGACTAAAAAGATGGTTTTCTTCATCAGACAAAAGCGAGATTTTACATGGATGCCTGAATCGTGAACACTTTCTCTTCTTTTTTTTTTCCAGGTCTACATTACCCTTAAGCCAAGAAGATTATGAGGTAATTACAAGGTGTTTTTTTCTGAAGTGGGGAACCCCTAGGTTAACAAGATTTGTTCTGTTGCACAGCCATTAGTTTACAAACAAGAAGTAGAGAGCAAGAGTAGAGCGTAGAGATGGTCTGTCACAGTTTGTGTAAAATGTAAAGCGTTAAGAATTCTGGCAAGGAAAACTTCAGTGGAAGGAGAAAACACTTGAGGGATCAAGAAAGGAGGAGATTTGACTGGATTATTCTTCTCCACCAAAAGACTCATGCTTTAAAGGAGAGTGGGGATGTGGGAGAATTGTGGTGGGCAGACAGGTTGCTGAAACATGGGAAGGAATGGGAAATTGGGAAATTGCTTCTGTTTCCATGTATCCATTTCAGTCTGTTTGCTCTGTCCCTTCTATCCAGGCTGTCTTGCAGAAGCTGGTGAGAAACTTGTTTGCAGAGGGCAATGATTTGTTTCGAGAGAAGGATTTCAAGCTGTCACTGGTACAGTATGTAGAAGGGCTGAACGTGGCAGATTATGCAGCCTCTGATGAGGTGACCATCCCAAAGGAACTCCTGTGCAAGCTGCATGTCAACCGAGCTGCCTGCTACTTTGCCATGGTGAGTGCCTTCCCAAGGCATCCCCAGGAGTCAGGGAGGACAGCTGGATTGCTTTGGGTGTCATGCAGATGGAAAACATGTCAGTAGGGGATTCAGCCCCCAGCACTGAAGGAGATGGTGACACACAGAACTTTGATACCTCCTCACTATCACGCTGTGTCTTGCAAAGCCAGAGGAATGATGTAAAGAAGTTGGGTCCTGCTTTTGTTGGCCAGGCCTAAGGTACTAAGAAGGCAGTTCAGGTCCATGTTGTTGAGGAGTTAATGCACTCTGGAAATGCAGTTGTAAAGATCCAGTGCCTTCCTGTACTGACTCTGAATATTGCTCTGGAAGTTTGCCTGCCTCCCCACGTCTGTGAGACTGGAAGATGGTGAGAAGGCTTTGAATCATGGCAGAGCATTCAGAACGCATATGGAAAATGATTCTGAAATAATCAGGCTCTAAAAAGCTGTGTTCTTCCATTTTCTTCAGGAATGCAACAGTCTTTCTTTATGGCACAACCCCAAAGCAGGTCCATCCTGTTCATAACGAGGCTGAGTCCTATGAGAAAAGTTAACAGGCAGTCACATAATTAAAGACTGTCAAATGTAACATGTCCACGGTAGAAGGGGAAGTAATATAAGGTTGTTCAGGCAGCCCAAACCGTGCTGTTCACTAACTTTAAAGTGTTCTGTGTTTCACCAGAATTAAAAAAATGCAATGAGTGCATTTCCAACTGTCTTTTCCATGCTTTTATATTTCTGCTGAGGGATACAACACATGGATTCACACAGAGAAGGGCTTGTCTGCTGTGCTGACTTTTGTTGGTTTCTTCCACTCAGGGGTTGTACGAGAAGGCTCTGGAAGACAGTGAAAAAGCTTTAGGTCTTGACAAGGAGAACATCCGAGCGCTCTTCCGCAAAGCCCGCTCTTTAAATGAACTTGGAAGACACAAAGAGGCGTATGATTGTAATAGCCGTTGTCTGCTGTCCCTCCCCCATGTAAGTTTTTGACATACAGCTTATCTTGATTTCTGGGGCTCACCACGTTGCTCTTCCATCACTTAATATTTAGCATGAGGCCTGAGGAGGAAGGAAAGTTGGCTATACTTGGTGACATGCTTATGTCCAGGAATTTTCTCTCTCTCTCAACTCAGAGAGGATCTTTGAACGCTTGTTTTTCTTCAGTCCAAGTCACCATCTGCACACAGTACGAGCCAGAGACACTGGCTAATGGTAGAAGGTTTGCTGGCCTATTCACAAAGAGCAAAAAGTTCCCCTAACAGAAGGTGAGCTAAGGCCATGAAGGTGTTTTAATTAGCCCTCTTTATATGCCTAATGAGAGTGACTGTGAGCATGGCACAAATGCAAACTGGAGCCCTGTAGGGAAACATACATGTTTTTCCTGTTTTAGATAAAAATGTCTGATGTTTTAGTTAATAATTGCTAAGGCAAGCTGATAAAGTGTTTTTGTTTCTGAGGGATATGTGAAGGGGTCCTTGATGATTAGTTGTGTTCACAGGTGTGTAAATTTTTTTACGTCAGAGGGGACTATTCGCATATACTAGGCCCTGGGTATTTTCTTAACAATGCTTTTATTGTGCTTTCTTTTAGGCCAGATATTGACCAAGTAAGCAAATTCTGATTACATCCCAGTGAGTGGTCATCTTTGCTAAATTTAGTTCTGATCCATCAAAGTAATGCTGTTAGAAAAAAAAAGGCAACTACTTCAGCAGAAGTTATTTTTTTTTTCCTATTAGAATTGCAGAAGCAATTTTATAAAGCAAAGCTATGTTAGCAGTGTTGCCTCTTTTGTATTCAGTTTACTTGAATTGGCAGAACAAGGTGACCAAAACACACTGAAAGTATTGTGTTAGGGGAGTTGTAAAGACCTATTTCTTAAATCCTTTTATAAACAAAACTGCCTAATACATCTGTTCATGTAAAACTGTATGTGGCTGTATCTCACAATGTAGTTCAGCCATTTTAATATGTGGCTGAAATGTTAAAGATCATGGTGGTCTACAGACATTTTATCTAACTTTTTTGGGTCAGGATAGCTCAACTTTACAAATTCATTATCAAGACATCTGCATTCCTGGCTCTGAACAATTCTGTCTTGTAAATTAAAATATGCCATTGCCTTATTATCTGATTAACAGGAATCATAAGCCTTCTCCGCATCAGAGTCAAATCAAACTATCCATCATCTCAGTTCTGTTTCAACTACACCAGCTGCTGGGCCTCTGCAGCAGTGAGGTGGTTCCAGCTTGTGTTGCTGTAACAGCTGAGAAGCAGATTGTATATTAAAACTTACAGTGATGAAGGAGTGCCACTCATTTGACTCACTGTCTAGCAGAGTTAGCGTAACCCAGGTGCAGATATTCAGTGCTGATAGCTTGCAGAGGTTCCCAGCATGGTGAGGCTGGTGCTTCTCTGTGGTCTGCTTTTAGGATGGCACAAAGGGTGTTTTTTTTAGGATGTTGGAAGAGAGCATTTTGCATGCCCTTATTGAGCATCCCCTTGCTTAGGTGGGAGGCAGTAAGCACCTGAGGGTGGCTGAGGAAAAGGAAGGATAAAGAAAAATACTCAGAATGACAAAGATTGAGTAAGCTCCCAGTCCCAAACCTCAGGCCTGCTTATTAAAAATTAACTCATGCTGTTGGGAAGTGAAAGCAGCCTAGAGAAAAATATTTTTGATCTTGTCCAAGCATCAGAGAGGACATCTTAGGGACGTGATGGCATGTGGAATTGTATAGGATGAGCCTGGTAGGTATTGTTGTAAGATCAATGAAAAGATAAGGTGCAGGAGGTCTTTTCTTTCTGGGAGTTTTCCACAGGGAGCAGGAAAATGGCAGGTGTCAGAAGACACCTGCAAGACTGTTTAGAAAGGCAGAAGAACCAGAGGCAAAGAGCATTGAAAACATGATTGGGGTAAAATATTAATAAAGACAGAGTGATGGTTATGTCAGACAGATCTGGGAGTTGGAAGGGATGGAGTAGGGGGAGGCAACCATAAGAACTGACCAAGAAGAGATCTCTGGAGAGTATGGGGACAATTTCAGGAAAGGAAGGTACATCCTGAAGAGATATAAGATGGAGAGAGAAGACGACATGGGTAGATTGGATTTTTTCTTCACTGACTTCAGACCAAACCAGTGTTGAGAATGTGGGGAAAGAAGTTCAGTCAAAAGGTGGCATTTCAAATTGAGGAGAAAAGTTCATGATGCTGGGGGATGGAAGATCCACAGGCTACTGAGGGGCTGAAGGAGAAAAAAAATGAACCTGCAGAGAGAAGGAAATTGGGAAGATCAGAGTTATGTGGTAAGCAGAGAGAAAAGAGCAAGCTTCAGGGTTATAGATGAGGGAGACATGGTAGCATTCAGAAGTGATATTGCAATAGATTGGGCGAGCATGTTGTTTTTCTTTGAAGAAACTGTTTAAGTATGCCAGTATTTTTGCCAGCGGGAAAAGGGAGGAAAGCACAAGGAAAGAGTTACTGATGATAAAAATAAGTGAAGAGGTTTGTGGCAGGTTAGTCCAGGCAGAACTGGAAAGAATGGAGCAACCTCAGTACTTCAGCAGGAATGACAGGAACATTCTGGTCTGCATGGCCTTTGCTAGGGTTGCTGTGCTGCTATCTACAAGTGAGGCTTTTTGGCACGGCTGTGCGGACAGCTGCATTCCTGTTTGTTTTGTCTGCCACAAAGACACAAAGCTGAAAGTGTCCTTCTAATGCTTTTGTCCCCAGGATGAGAGTGTCACGCAGCTGGGACAGGAGCTTGCACAGAAGCTGGGACTGAGGGTTCGAAAAGCATATAAAAGGCCTCAGGTATGACTATTTTCTTGTTTCTTTTCTTTCTTTTCTTTTTTTCCTAGAGGCTATCCTTTGACTCTTTCAGATTTACTTCTGCAAAAGTGGTAGGTGCTGCTTTGCAGCTACATACACAGGTATATTACCCTGCAATCCTCCCAGCAGGCCACTGGCTCCCCTTCTTATCCTGCCTCTTTGATTCACTTTTGCCTTTGTCCATTTCTGGCCCCACTGCTGCTCTGGGTCTTTTCCAGGATGTTCCCTGCATCTCCAGCAAGGTCAGACTGGTGCTGTAGGAGAATGTAGTAGGAGCCTGAACCTACATGAAGAGAAAGACATGTGGCCTGATCCCAAAGGGGGTTTTGCATCATTTTTTTTTACAGGTTTTTCCCCTGTAATAGGAGTAACAGGAACGTGGCTGATACACATCTGGTCAGATGCTAGGAAAGAAGGCACCAAAAATTAAGCTGTTGGTCCAGTTAATGGATCCCAGTGGCTGGATCTGTTACCTGGCTTTTAAAGAAAGTGCTTTAGTACAGTGTACTGTGCAGGTATAGAAATGTATACTCTGGGGTGGAGCTAGAGGGCATTAGGCCACTGCTGGCCCTCTCAGATAAATCTGCTTTGGTGTAATGTAAAATCATGGGGTGTATTTTCAGGAGTAAGCAGCGCTAGCTTGTGTCACTGAATGTTCACAGGATGACTGTCAGTGTGCTTCCCTGAGCCAGCTCTGCCCAATATCCCGCAGCCCCCTGCACAGCAGTGTGTTGGACACCTTCAGGGGACCTTTACAGTAGTTGGTGACGTGGTTCCTGGGCATTCAGTCTGCAGAGAGCTTTTGGGAAAAGTGTGGCTCTGATGTCATGTTCCACTCAATGACAAAACTCATGTGATTGATCCACCCACAACCCCTCAATACTGTAGCAACTCTCAGCACTCTGAAATGATTCTGTCTCAAAGAAAAAGAAGATTTACTTGGAAAATACTTTTTTTAGCTGCTCATTGTGTTCATTGGCCCAGCCATATTTTTGCTGCTGTCACATTACTGAACTCTGATGGGCTTAAACTATGCTGATGTGTTGAAAAAACAAAGACTGTAAAAGACAAAATGCTTTTGTTGCTTGATGTGTAGGGATTGGTATTTTGATAACACCTTGCTATGTTTTGTGTTGACTTACAACTTTCATTCCAGTGCTGTAAAGCCTACCCAAAGCAGTAATGTTTTAATGAAAAGGCAAAAAAGTTTGGTTTTTAGGAATAATGTTAGCTTCCTGATCATGCATTGTATGTTAGGTGTTTAGTAAACAGTGAGGTGACACTGAGGTGTCCATAATAAATATGTGGTCCTGCCAGCATTCATAAAACTACCTTTGTGTCACAGAGTTATGCTTTTGGGGTAGCTTTTATTTCTAGACAGTGCCTGAAAGAAAAACTGTATCATACCCCAGCTTTACCTGTTTTACAAGTGTTTGTGGGCTGTCTCTGTTCTAAGACATCTCTCTTCTTGCAGCAGGAATTGGAAACATTCTCTCTACTCAGTAACGGCACGTCCATCAATTTGTCAAATCAGGTACAGTTGGCATCCTCTAGTTATTAATGTTGATGGATTGCTACTGGAATGTTTCTGAGCTTTATTTACATATGCATTGATAGCTGTCTTTTAGAATTTAAATGTACTAATTAGTGTATTCCCCTTTGTCATGGTTTAACTCCACTGGCAGCTAAGCATCCACAGCTCTTCTCTCACTCCTACCAGTAGGATCAGGAGGAGAACTGGAAAAAAGGGTAAAACTCATGGACTGAGACAGACAATATAATAGAAAAAGGAAGGGAAAATAATAATATAGTGATCAAAGAATATAAAAAGCAAATGATGCATGATGCAATTACTCACCACTGAGTGATGCTCAGCCTGTCCCGAAGCAGCTGCAGTCCCTTGTGTCACCTCTTCCTGGTTTCACTGGTCAGCATGATACCACATGGTATGGGATATCCCTTTGGCCAGTTTGTGTCCTCTCCTGGTTCTGTCCCATGCCAGCTGCTTCTTACTGGTGGGGCAGTACAAGAAGCTGAAAAGTCTTTGATTAGTGCAAGCACTGCTTGGCAACCAGTGAAACCGGTGTGCTATCAGCATTATTCTCATCCTAAATCTAAAACACAACACTGTAGCAATCTACTAAGAAGGAAATCACCACTGTCCCAGCCAAAACCAGGACAGCGTTATAAGGAATATTGTTAAGGAAATTTATTTCTTTGAGAATATTTCTAGTGAAAGCATTTTTACTGTCAACAGATCAGTGACGATGGTTATTTTTCTTGGTTATTGTGAATGGTTGTCTTCTTTTGTATTTTAAATAAGTTCCAGTTTTCAGGTTTTTACATAGTTAGGACTACACTAAGTAAAAATCAGGAAATGCAGATGCTGAGGAAAGACAGGAGGTCAAATCAAGCAGTGTAATTTTGTTGTCCAGAACTGAGCAAGGTGCATACACAGTTTGTGTATTCTTTGTATTGTCCTTTGACCTGGGAGATCCTTGAGCAGAGCTCTGCACAAATATTGAACCAAAATATAAGAAATTGCTGAATTCTTTGTTCCACCACTGGCTAACAAAAGCCTTGATGTTTTTACAGGCTGTCTGGTACTTACATTACTCCTTAAAGCAAGCAAAATATAACCATAACTGACATTTTGTTTGACAAGGAGGGATACTAAAGAACTAGTTTACTTGCCAATGTGCGGAGACTTGCCTTCGCTATCTTTCTAGGAGAGCAAGTCAGTTTTCTTGTATAGTTGTGCCTAGTTTTTCATTTGTAAATCTTGAAGAAACTGGAATACTGCAAAGGCCAGAAGTTGTGTAAACTATGGCAGTAGCTGCAGTATCTAGAAAGCAATGCTTTATTTGTACCTTTGTAAGTTTAAACTGAAAGCACGCATACTTGCATCTGTTTATGTTACTGTAAAATATGGGGCTTATTTTATTCCTTGCCTGAAGCTTTGTGTCAGCAGTCTTCGTGGAAACCTTTTCCTGTTTTGAGTTTGCTGTAAAAGTTTGTGGTTATTAGATAGCAAAGTGAACTAAGAGAAGGAACATTGTGTCAGACCAGGCTAATCAGATCTCTCTGCACAGGGCTGACTGACTGGTTTGTCCTGGGACTTGGAACACAGTATTCTTTCTCACCCACAGAGGAAAAAAAACAATTCTATATACAGATTTGCTCACGTGGTTGGGCATTATGCAGAGTTGGTATTCCTTTGCAGCAGCAAGACTTGTCCACTGCTGGAGGTGAAAGTGCATAGGTTTTGGATGAGCGGACTCTTAAAGTTTTGTGGTTTTACTGTTCTTGCACTAAAGGAGGCAATAAAGGAAAATAGAGAGCCTGATGTGTTAGGAGTAGTAAAAGGTCTCCTCTGTGAATTGAGAATATATTTTTCAAAGATTAATTTCTCGTGATAATTTCTCTGTTCTTTCCTTTGCCCTCTGCAGACCACTTCCAATGGTTTGGGATCGATTGATGATATCGAAACAGGTAAAGATATTTCTCTTCTCTGATTTTTTGTGGTGTCAGTGTGGTACCTGACCAGGCTGGCAGGCCTGAGAGGTTTGTGGTCTGCATTTGTGTGTCTCTGTGTGCTCCTGACTTTGATACCTAGGAGGAAGAAAAGGTGATGGGAAGCAGAAGCATATGGGACTGTTACCTTAACTAGTTTCCCTTCATATCTTCCATATTTGCAGTCAGTTACTGAGGCACTGTTATGAAGGGCAAAAGAGGCTGAGCAGTTATATGCCTATTGGTACCTCCTACAGAAAAGCTTCTTGTGCTTCTTGTCCAGGCCCAGCAAGGGACATCTCCAGGAATTAGAAGGGTGTGCTGATGTACACAGCTTCCTCCAGTTCTGCTTTCTTAACGTTGAGCTTGGCACAGCTTCTGAGATTCTTCTGTTACTCCCAGACAAAACAGTCTAGATAAAGTTAAGATTGTAGGCAACTGTCTGTGCTCCGAGCACATGTGGTCCTTCAGGACACAGAGATGGAGGAGTTCAAAACAAGGGGGTTGGGAAGGATCCAGGGAGAGCCTTGTGCTGCATAGAGGAGGAGCAGAGTGAGGGCCACAGGGTTGCTTTTCTCATGCTGAGAATCAAGTGACCTTAACTCTTCCTCTGTAGGAAGGCTGGCTGCGTGCTTTGCCCTTTGTTGTGTGCTGGAGCATTTTAATCTTGCCTCTGAGTGTGTCAGTCTCTGTTCCTTTGAAAAGTAGCTGCAGCACTAAGTGTGCAGGCTTAACACTGCAGATAGCTATCGCTCTTTTTATAGAAAGACACTAATTTCATAATCAGGGTGCTCTGGTGTCTATTTTGGAAAACATGTTAGTTCCCTCTTGAATTCTGGTTCAGTAACAGAATGCTGCGTGCAGGCATGAGACCCAGTTCCTCAAAACAAGGAGAGTTTTTCAGTTATTTGCTGTGCTGAGATGAGCTGGGCTCTTACTGCAGAGTGAAGAGTGGCTGCATCCAGGAGGCTCTTTGTCTCGTCAGGGCTTGGTGCAGGAGCAGTATGCCAGCTTTCCTGCAGCTCAGGCAGAGAGAACATTTTCTGCTAGATCTTTTCAAAACTGAAATGATGTGTTCTCCGTTGCCCTGAGATTGGCATGCTGTTAGGAGAGCTGTGGGCAGGTGCCCCAAGCGAAACCCACAAGACTGTTGGGGTTTTGTTGATGTTATTTTGGGGTTTTCTATTGTTTTGTTTTTTTGGTTTTTTGGGGGGGGGTGTTTTTTTTTTTTGAGATGCAAACTCGTGATAGCCCCTCCATTCTTGAAGTCAACTGATTAACTCAGCCCTGTCCTGCATTTGTCATGGCTCAGATATGGCTGAGTATTGCCTTTGGCCAACTGATGCATGGAGGAGCAACTGCTTTTTGGGATGTAGAGTGAGAAACAGGGCTCTTAAAAGAAATCTGTTCACCTCTCTGGGACAGGCAATGTCCAGAGAAGCTCCCAAGTGGGGAACATATTCTGCTAGTTTTGGTAGAAGCTCAGGGAAAGGAATGGACAAGACCCTCAATGAACTCATAATAATACATGTGGCTTAGTAGTGTTGGAGCAGTGGCACAGGAGGGCAGGGGTGTATGTGTGATCTGTTCATCAAGGAAAGCTTATGGTTTTTGTTTTTTAAAGTTTGGGCAAATGTTAAAATGGGTACAGGGGGTGCATGAGCTTTTTAGCAGAGAGTAGATATGGGCATGGTGATTGGTGAGGAAACTCAGTGGATGGGAGTGTAATGGGGAAAGGAGAGGTAGGGGAAGAGATAGGATGGAGTGGAATGGGAGCGAGGAGCCAGAAGGAGGAGAGGGTTTAGGTATCAGAGAGAGAGGAGCAGACATTTTTTCTGCTTGAAGGTAGTTCCTTGCTCTTCTTCTTGTTAACCCATACCAATCTGTGGGACATTCCTTATCTTTCTCTGCCTTTTGATCGTATGTTCAGTTTTTCAGAGTTTGGGGTCTGTTAGGGCATATGAGGGCATCTCTCTGCTTCCCAGTCTGACTGAGAACCAGAGGGCCTCATTCATTCCTTGGAGAAGGTCTGAACTTGTAAATCCCTTGAGGCTGTATCATTGTGAACCCTTTTACTCCCCCCTGCACGTGTCCCTGGCCCCTGCGGCATGTCCTGAACTTCTTGTTGGCCTTCACAGGGATCTTGACAGTACTCCAGATTAAAACATCTGAAAAATGGGAAGGGACAAGCTGTCCCTTTGTGCTGAGGGAAATCTGGCTGCACTACCAGCAATGAGGCCAGCACCAAAGGGAAGCTGAATGGCTGGCTCCCAAGCATGGCTGGAGGGTCTGCACCAAAGGGAACTGAGCTGAGAGAATCCTTCGCAAAGGAAACATGGGGTTGGAGCCAGGCCTGATCTGAGGAACAGCTTTTCCTGTGTAACCAAGGGCATTTACAGCCTTCCTTTGAACCACTCTACTGCCTGTGGTGGCTGAGTCTAGCTGCAATGCTGAAAAAGTGTGTTGGAGCCCATCAAGTACATGTGCTCTCCTTCAATTGCATGAATGAGTTTTGTGGAGAGGGACCAGTATCTTGCTATTCCCCCCCCAGCCATTCCTTTGTCATTGCTTGGCTTTTGGTGCTTTGTACAGCAACCTTAGCTGCTGTCCTCCTGCTCACAACTCCTGGAGGAAAGGTAGCAGCGGGCAGGGGTGGGATCTTGTAGGATCAAGATTTGCACTTCAGAAACTTGTCAAGTTTTTTTCCTTCCTTATCAGTCCTTCTAATGAAAGCTGTTGTTGCTCCCTCTGAACTTTCCCTTGCTTATAGCTTTAGTCCACCATAGGTACAGTGCAGCCACTGCTGTATGGATGGAGGTGGCAGCACCTTTTTCTGATTTCTTTTCTTTTATTCCAGGACATCTGCACAGGGGCAGAATTAAGGTAGTTTGGGTGCTTGGTTTGAGAGCTGCAAATGTAATACTTCATTTCCTGAATTTCTAACATTTGAACATTTTTTTTTAACCTTTAATTTTTATTTATTTATTTATTTATTCTGGAGAATATAATGCTCTTCTGTAAAGAACATGCGCTTGTAACCTTAACTTCACTTAACAGAGGTTTATTTTGCATGATGGGAACACATTACCTTTTCAGTAGTGTAGCAGAGCAGTAAGGAAACCTTAGGAAAAATCCCTTCCTCTCTCCTGCCCCAACCCTTATTCACACAAGTTTTTAAGGGGATGTTTGGTGCTGAGTGTTGGAGAGAGTATAGGGAGCATCCTCCCACCTGCAGACATCAGGAAGCATACAAGAGCAGGGAATTTTCTTGGGTAAAGACAGCTGAGTGAGTCTGATAGGACTTTAAGGCACACATTTTTATCACAATGTGACGTGAGCTTTTGATCTCTAGCTTGTCCCAGCAGGACCCTGTGGTTTTATCTTTTGCCATCCAGGATGCCTGAGGGTTTAGAGAGTTTGTGTGAATAAGCAAGCCTTCAGCTGGGGTGTCAGAGTTCCAAGGAGCAGAGAAGGCAGCGGTCTCTGCCAAGTGCCTTAGTGAGGAACATAAACGAAAACACCAGGTGATGGGTTCTACAGGAATCAGATTATGTGCCTTTGGCCTTCTGTCTTGGACAGCAAATTCAGTAGCTGGTCAACCAGCAGCTTTATGCTGTTCTGATTACTGCTTGACACACCCTGACAGCCAGTCTGTGCACTGGCCTGTAGGGCATATTTCAGCAATCAGTGAGTCATTGGAGACTGAGAGCAAATATCAAAGAGTAAAAGCAGATGAGAGTCCCTCCTCTCTGAAAACAGGACATACTCGGTGTTTGTGATTTGATGTATTGGTTTTGCCAGACTGTGCTCTGCTTGCATCCTCCTGGTGACTGACTGTCTCTGTTTCTTCTCCATCGCAGACTGCTCCATGGACCTGCAGTGCCTGCCAGCTCCTGTGGCCACTTCCATCCCTGTGAGCGAGGGGCTGTCCCTTTTGCACTCGGATTCAGATGCAAAGGGCCTGCCTACCTCGCTCCCTGCTGCCAGCCTGCTCCCATCTCCAGAGTCTGTGTCTCTGCCAGTGCCTGACAGTGTGGAGGACTTCACAGATGGGGACATAATTGGGGAAGAACTGGACTCCCTCCTGGATTCCCTCGCTGAGGGTTCACCGTACCCTCTAGTAAGAGTGGACATTGCATAATTCCCTTGCTGCTTGATCCAAATAGATCCTTAGAGCCTGCAGTTATGTGTACTGCTTCTCTTTCTGTCACTCCTTCCTCCTAGCTCTTCCTCTAGCAAAACTCATTCATTCTTTTGCTTATTTCTATAACTGGCTTGTGAGTACCTAAAAAGCTTGTCTCTAAGCCTGCTTTGCTGTGTGCAGCTTCATAGAGCTGACCCTCAGTGGCCTCCTCCAGCCACCATCTTCTCCCTGGCCTCTGGTGTCTGTGGATTTGAAGCAGGCCTGAGGGTAGACATAAGTGAGCTGAAGCAGGTGCAGTGGATGTATTTTACACAGTGATGTGCTGGCTGCATTCAGCCAGAGCTCTTTGCACAGGTCTCCATGTTTAGAAACAATCGCATTTGATGCTTATGTTGGATTTTAGTTGCCAGTAGTGCAGATGTTATGTGAATCAGCTTTGATCTGGAAACAATATAACCACATTCAGGCAGGAAGGAACTTGAGGCAAAAAGCTCTGCTGAGAGGCGCCAAGAGTAATGGTCATTACCCCAACCTTGGTGCTGTGTGTATTCAGCTATGCTGTGTCTCAACCTGAACTCGTGCAGATGCCCAGTGCAGGGCTCTGCCTTGTGGGCTGATGAGCTCTGGTGCCCCAGAACCTCCTCAGGAACCTCAGCCAGACTCTGTGTGTTGCAGACAGGTGGGCAGATCTGTGGGAGGTCTGCAGGTGGATGGAGCTGCTGGGTGTCCTTCTGCTTCAGATAATGCAGCACATGCTTGAGTGGGAGTCTGTTGGCTCTGTCTTTGTTCAGTCACTCCCTTCTTGTTTCTAATACGCTGCTTATCCTCTTCCTTCTCAATCTCCAAAGTCTTTGGTCCAGGGCACCATTCCCACCAACCTGCCAACAGAGATGCCCCAGCTGATCCCTGTGTTTCCAGGGGGAACTCCGCTGCTTCCCCCAGTTGTGACAGCTAGCATCCCTGTCTCCACCCCGCTGCCACCTGCCTCCTTTGGCCTGGTGATGGATCCCACCAAACAGCTTTCCTCCTCCTCTGTCTTGGATGCCTTTGAGCCCCCGCCCGGGGGAAGTGGTGGCTCCACCTTAGATTCCCTGGATTCCCTGGACCTGCTCCCCTACACAGACTCACGTCTCGATGCCCTGGATTCCTTTGGGACAAGCAGAGGGTCGCTGGATGCCTTGGACTCCTTTGCCATCGGTACGTGTGGGGCTGACAGGGTTTTGTTCTTCTTTACCTGTGCTTGCCACAACTGTTTCCTTCAGTGCTGAGGCCTGTTCTTTAGCTGTCTGTGCCAGTGCTTCAGAAAGGGAATACAAATGTTGAAGAGGGCAGGGAATTGTTTTGAGCAGAGCAGCTGGGTATGTCTAGCTCAGGAGTCGTAAGGAGGGCTGTAGGTGTGTAATCCCAGATAACTAGTATGTGCATGCTATGAAGTCTCAGAGGAGAAAGGAACACAGGATGTTTAATGGAGTGAGGTCTAATTATGGCTTGGTATTCTGGATACCTCCCTTGGCACAATTTACTTGACTATAAAGTTTTTCCTCCACCTTCCCTCGTGACTGTTGGACATTTGGGGCCAAATGAGCAAAATCCTGGTGACTGTTTTAAATGAGATAGGACCTTTTTGCACTAGACTAAATGGTAAGGGCCAAGGTGGGTCCTTCCATCTCTGGATTCAGAACAGTAAGCATCCTGTTGCCTCAAGTACTGGACTCTCACATCTTTAGGAGCCAAACTGTGGAGATCAGTGGGCAAAAAGCAAGTTTCTACCTATCCCATGAGGGATGACAGGCTTCTTCTTGGTTAGGCTGTCTACTGTATTGCTATATTTTGGTTAGCAAAAAATATTTTCTGAAGAACAGAGATTGGCCAGTCAGCACTTCAACACACTGCTTTACCTAAGGATTGGACTGCCTCAGAGCTGCCACTTTAAAAGTGTCAGAGCTCAGTGGCACAGAGTTGAGTTCAGTATAGTTTTGGGGACACAAAGGCCTTTCCTGGAGCTTTTCCAAGACTTACATGGGGGATTTGGGTATAAAATGTTATGAACAAAACAAAGTAATTTTGCTGGCATGTGTTTGTCTTTCTGTGAGCAGAACTACCTCTGAAAGTGAAATGTTTTTGTTTTTTCTCCCTTCTTTGTCCCAGAAGAAACCAGCCCTCAGGAACTGCGACATCCACCTGGCAACCAAAAACCATCCCCCGTGGTGAGTGAGCCGCTCCCCCATGCTGATGTCCCAAGGTGCTCTGGAGCCAAGGTAGTAGTGACTTGGGTGAAGTAGGTAATTTGGGCCCCTCTTTTTAACCTGCCCCAATGAGCATTTCCTCCCACCTTGTGACAGGAGTCAGGAGGAAGACATTTGTTCTGCCTTCGTTTTTATCCACAGTTCTGCACATTGCCAAAGTAAACATGGTGTGACCTAGGTTGTAGGATCAACAGGGGATCAGGGAGGCCAGTGTGCTAATGTATCTTGCAGCCTCTTAACTGTGGATCAGAGTAATCCAGGCTTTCTTAAGACTAGTGTAGTTCTTTATTCCTCTTTTTCCCCTGTCAGTCAGCTTTTCCAGGTTGCTCTGTTCCTATCCCATGTCTCCAGTCCTGTGGGAAAAGGATGTCGATGGTTAGCAAGTTTGGAACACAAATTGTTCTTCTTAGATTCCTGTTCACTTGCTGTGCCTGTTACATAGCTGTAGAACAAAATCTTTGTCCTCAGATTAATTCCCAAAGACTCACTGATAAGTGGTTCTTTTCTTTTTTTCCAGGTAGTGGTGGGGTTGATTTGAGAGTTGGTTGTAATGGATGGAATGAGAATGAGTGAGTGGACATTCTGTTCTGTCTCATGGTAGAAAACTGGTGCCCCTTACCAAGAGAGAAAGAGATCTTGAGGTGATCATATCGCGCTTTGTTATTTTTGAAAAAGTTACGTGCAGCTTTTCAGGAAATGTCATTTCAGCATTGAATGTTTTGATGAGGAAGATGAGGAAGTTTTTTTAGAGATGGGAGTGAGGTGTGAGGTTGCAGAGTTCTCTTAGCCGTATGGCTGCAAAGCTGAGAAGAGAAGTATGTATGGTTTTGTACAGGTCAGCCTTGGTGGAGTGAGTCACCCAGCTGTGCCCAAAGTCACCGAGCACCTGCTGTCCCAGCCAGAACCAGTAATACCCAACACAGCCTTGCTGGTGAAGAACCCTCTGGCATCCACCCATGTCTTCAAACAAGCCTGTCACATCTGCTACCCTAAAACAGGTGATGTGTTTCCTCTGTCACTCACAGCATTGGCCATGATAAAGCTTTACCTCTCTCCTGGCTGACAGAGAGAGGCTGATGGAGTTCTTCTCTGCTGCAGGGCCCAAGGCTGGTGATTACACCTATCGAGAAGGCTTGGAGCACAAATGCAAGCGAGACATCCTGCTGGGCCGTCTGAAGAACTCAGAAGACAAGACTTGGAAGAGGATCCGTCCTCGCCCAACCAAAACCAACTTTGTAGGATCATATTACCTGTGCAAAGGTGATCTGGGGGGGGATAGAGATGTTGGTGGCTGGAAAGGGGTTGTAAGGTGTGGGCCAGGGGGTCTGGGAAAGGACTTTCTATTGGTCTTGCCTGCTGTCCCTGGGGTCTTCCTGTCCCATCAGTAGCCCACAGCCCGTAAGGCCCAGTGCTGTCAAAGAAGATGAACTCCCATGCTGTGGAGAATGGGCAGTGAAGAAAGTGATGGAGCAGGAAAAGAGTTGCAAAGGCATAGTGTGGTGCTGTGCACAGCTAAGGGCTTGGAACTGCCCTGTTAATGCAGGCTTTGCTGGGAATCTACGTAGCAGCCACATGGCAGGTCAATGGCTCGACCTAGGAGAAAGCTCCTTTACTCTAACCCATCCACTGGGTCTCATTTAATGTGACTGGATTTGTCCCTGAGGCAGTGTCATTGGAAAGCACCTAATGAGGTGGGGAGAGAGCTCCAAGATAGTGGAGCTCCTCAGTGCTGGGCTGCTAGGAGAACTTCATCCAGTTTGGCTTTAAAAGGGGTCAGTTAAATTTCAGTCTGTCCTTGACCCAGCATAGCATTATAGCAGGTCTCCGGTTTCCACAACAGATTGTGATCTTCTTGAGATCTTCTTGAGATTGTCACTACTTAGAAGTTTGCATTAACTTTTCTGAATGCCTTGGTGTAAGCAAACTTGGAGGGAGATGTCTTTTCTTTTTCTTTAACTCTGTGTTTTCTTGCTTTCAGCTCCTTGTGAGGTGTGGGCAGTGGGAGGAGACAAAAGAGAGCTTAGTTTCTGACTGGGCCGCCCTCCCTGTGTGGTGGTGTGTGCTGTTTGTTGCTTTGTAGATATGCTTAACAAGCAGGACTGTAAGTACGGGGATAACTGCACCTTCGCGTACCACCAGGAAGAGATCGACGTGTGGACGGAGGAGAGGAAGGGGACTCTCAACCGTGACCTCCTCTTTGACCCACTAGGTGGGATCAAGCAGAGCAACCTTACCATTGCCAAGCTCCTGAAGGAACATCAAGGCATCTTCACCTTCCTCTGTGAGGTACAGAGCTGGTGGGGGAAAGTGGGCCCTTTCAGCTTCTTCTCTGTGTGGATCGGAATCATTGATAAGTCCCAGCCAGTGCCCTGTACCCAGAAGGGCAGTGAGCAATGGATGCAGCTGTGTAGGAGGAGGGTGAGAAAGTTTTCCTCACCCATCAAGCTGCCTGAAATACACACAGCCACATGGGACTACTTTCCTCTTCCTCTGTCTTTAGGTGTTATTTTGAAGCGTAATTTGTATCCATCTGTTTTAAAAATGAGAATCCCACAGTACAGCAGCTTTCCACTTTATGTCACAGAGTCACAAAATGGCCTGGGTTGGAAGGGACCTCAAGGATCATGAATCTCCAGCCCCCCTGCCACAGGCAAGGCCACCAACCTCCCCATTTCATACTAGACCAGGTTGCCCAGGGTCCCATCCAATCTGGCCTTGAACACCTCCAGGCATGGATGGGGCATCCACACAGCCTCTCTAGACAGACTGTTCCAGCACCTCACCACTCTCATAGTAAAGAACTTCCCCCTGACATCCAACTTAAATCTTCCCTCCCTCAACTTAAAACCATTTACCTTTGTCCTGCTGTTATCTACCCTTTCAAAGAGTTGATGTCTGTATTGAGCAACTGCCTTGGTCAGTTAGAAATTAGCTCTTACCCTTTTGACACAGTGCAGCATAGAGTTCCCTGAGTAGTCATTGTAATATGTAAAGAAACATGTTCTTAGCTGTAACTGTTGTGTGTTTTTTTCCCCTTCTATTTCTCCTCATTTCCTCCTTGTTCTTGCTCTGTTGTCCAACTGGAAAAGAATATGTGGCTCTGACCAAAATGTTTCCAACCACAGTGGAAAATACTGTGGAAAATAAGCCAAAAATGTTGTCCTGAAGCTTTTCCAAAAGTTTGCTTACTTTATTCTAATGCCCTACCATGAAGTTTTCACCAGGCTTGTACAAAGTTAGAACATTAGAATAGGCTGGCTCTGGTTCTTCTTCCCCTTCCAAGTGGCTCTGGTTTACTTCTCTATAAGGTTTTCGCAGCGTGCTAATTCTTCTCTTCTCAGATTTGCTTTGACAGCAAACCCCGGATTATCAGCAAAGGGACCAAGGACACGCCATCTGTCTGCTCCAACCTCTCTGCCAAACACAGTTTCCATGACAACAAGTGAGTGAACGTGTGTTGCACTGATGGGAGCAATCTCTCAGATGTCCAACCGATTTAATGCCAACCCCCTGGTCTCTTTCTTTCTTTGTTCCCAATGGGTTCCAATCGTAGGCCAGCTCAAAGTATGGTCAGTAGTGCTATATGCTTCTCCCTCCATGTTAGCTGCTGATGCTAAGGGATTTGAGGCAAGAGCAAAGCCCTTTGGAAGTCAACCTGAGTTTTCCATTGACTTAATTTGTCTTTGAGTTTGGCCTTTACATAAAGGTCAAGCCAAAGATCCTTTAGCTCAGGATCCTGCCTCTGACTGGCTGATAATGAATGTTTAGGAAAACAAGTATAAGAAGCATGTCAAGTACTCAGTAATACAACCCCTTCTGGCTCCCGGCAACCTGAGGAACTTTGCTGAGCCAGAGGAGTTTGTATATTTGCTGCATGTTTTTGAAGTGGATCTGATTTCTGAACTTGAACTCATCAACCATGGGCTGAGAGGTTGCACTTATCTACCTAGAGTTGAGATTGACTGAGAGGGCAGCAACTTGGTTTCTCAGGTGTTTTCCTAGAGTTCGCATCTCCTAGAGCTGATCTTCTGTGTCCTTTCCCTGTTCAGTCAAATGTACGAAAACCAGATGTAAGGAGGAGTGGGAGGAGAATTGGTGCTCTGATGACTCACATTTCTCTGGCCTGGCTGTAGGTGTCTGGTCCACATTGTACGTTCCACATCCCTGAAATACTCCAAGATCCGACAGTTCCAGGAACACTTTCAGTTTGATGTGTGCCGGCACGAGGTGCGCTACGGCTGCCTGCGTGAGGATAGCTGCCACTTTGCTCATAGTTTCATTGAGCTCAAGGTCTGGCTGCTGCAGCAGTATTCAGGTGAGTGTGGCTTGGTGCAGGACTGGAGATGTGTACACCTTAGTTTCTCCTAGCATGTGCTGGAGCCAGTTAAAAGGGGAAGGATGTGATGCGGAAGTGCTGTTGCTCACTTGTGCCTATGCTTAATCTCTCTTCTCAAGAGACACAGAAAATAGTGCCAAGGTGTTCTGTGAGATTATTTGGCCCTTGTCCCTTTACAGGAGATACTGTAAACTGCAGACTGGGGGGGCTTTTCCTTTGGGACCAGCTGTATAAGTTGAAATGATTGTTAGGTAGAATTGAATCTTCAAAGGTATTTTGATGCATAAATCCTGCAGAAGATCCTAAATAGCAGTTGGGATTTGGAATAAACATCTGGCACAGCGAGAATAGCAGTATGCACAGGTGACAAAGCAGTTACAACGGGCAGACTGTGCATCTCTAATTTCTCTGAACAAATTAACCAACGGTGTGAAATGATAAGATTCTTGGTGTTTCCCAGAAAGGCTTTGATGATGTACCTCTGAAGAGGCTACTACAGGAATTATGTTCAGATCACTCACACAATTACACTGCCACATCTGGCATTTTCACTCCTCCCTGACAATGCTGGAGGGTTTTTCTTGCTGCTCTCCTGTTAACTGAGTAGATGTTAGTCCGCCCACAAAGTTGCCTGGCTGTTTTTTTGCCACAGGGTCTTGTTTAGTGCAGAATCCAGCCTGGTAATGGGAATGCTTTAGAGAGGAAACATGTTTTAAATTTTCTTTACCATTCTTTGATGTAGTTGGAGGCAACTAACTCAGTTTACTGTTCAACTCTCTGTCACTATTGCGCATGCAGTCCTTAGCCTTGACTTGGCTCATGAAGGACAGTGAAGAACAAGCAGCATACTGTGGCAAATGCCATCTGCATTTTGCCCAGCTGTCTTCACTTACTCATGGCCACAGGAAAAAAAGAGTTTCAACACTAGTTTCTAAGACAATGTGTTGTTTGTGAATCATATGCAGGATTACTCCACTAAATGCTCATGATACTGCATGTAGTACTCTGAGTGCTCTAGTATTCAAGCATCCTGCTCTTTACCTCACCTCATATTTATTTTATTTTTAGAAGTCTCTTTGCTCCCTCTTTCCTTCTTCCTTCCTCTTCTACCTGTAGAAGAAATGGATTGATTTTTGCCTCTTGCCTCCTTTTCTCGAAGGAGCCACTTTCAAAAGAGAAGCTGAGGAGATAAAAGCAAGCTAAGAGTTTAGCTGCAGAGGTGGTCTTGTGCTTGTTCTTATTTTTTCCAACAACGGGACAGCCATAATCTTTTTCTGCAGAGAAGCGGATATGAGCCTGTTCTAGAATGGTAGATTATTGCCTCTCTTAAGTACAATCCTTGTTAAGGCAACAGATGAAAGGTGGTTGTCACCATTCTCTGAGAAGGCCTTAGCCTTGGAGCAGAGAGCTTGATTTAGGCACCAGTGCTCTGGAAAAATAGGAAGGGAGCATCCATTGTTCATAGCAGCTTGCATTTGAAACCAGTGGGCTGTTGCATTTCACAGCCATTTGAGCTTTTACAGAACATGTGGCTTTGCTCATGGGGATAATGGATGGCACTTACAGAGTGAAGGTTCCCATGATTTGAAAATGTGGGTGGGCAGGACTGCTTCTTTCTACAGTGTGGCTATTCACAGACATACCTTGCTATCTTCTTCTGTCATTGGAAATAAGAGCCTTTGTGTTCACTAGTGATGTTGCAGAAGATGCTGAAGTGTTAAAAGTAATCAGCATTACTGATCACCTTTTGCTTCCCAGACTTTCTCTTTGGGATAGTTAATGCTTTGTATTGGAAAACATTCTTTCATATCTGTGAGTGTTTTCCAACCACTACATTTCTAGACCATATTGTTCAGTTAGTTCAGATTTCTGGGAGTGGGAGAAGGCAGTCACTTGCTAAGGACTTCATTTGAAATTCAGTCTTCTGACAGGAGCTATATGTCTTTGTCCTGCTGTTTCTTCATGCGAAGGATCACAGTGCAGGAGTGAAGAATGGAGATGATGGAGGTTGCTTTGGCCATTTCTCTGCCAGATCCAGTGCAGTGAATTAATTCTTCACTGTGGTTTTCCCAATTTTGTAGTTTTTACCCCCAAAGTGTAGATCAGGGCTGTGTCCAGCTCTGGACTACTTAGACATGAGAGAGAGTTGCAGTTTTACTAACTCTACATTGTGTCTTTTGGGATTAACGGCTAACAAGGAAAAAATGTACAACAGCTCTGATCTGGGAGTACCAGCTAGGCAGCAGATGCCATTCTGGAGGCCTCAGCAAAACTTCCTGGAGAAAGTCCCTTAATCCTGCCCAAACCCTGTATAAACAGCAGTATTACTGTCTGGCAAGGATTTGGATAGCTGAAATCACAGATGGGGAAACTGAAGTCCGGTGTACTGTGGCTTACCCAAGTTGCACACAACCTAAGCTGAGATGAAAACTTGTGTTTGCTGGTTCTTATCTTCTGGAACATGCTGACTCCCAAATCAGAGATCATGTCCATGTAGCATGTCTGCAGAGCACCAAACTTTGATAATAGAAGCTGTTGGTAAAAGCAAAACAAGCAATTTTGTAAGCCCTCTGGGCTGGGAGTACTACATCAAGGCCATCATCAGCATCCCACTTGTTGCACTCAACTAGCACTTGTAAGATACTTCTTCAGTTTGTTTTGACAGATGTTTCAGGTCTTTACAGCACTTAAATAACATGGCTTATCTCTAGTGGAGCCAGTTCTCACACTGACCAGCCAGCTCCTATTCTTCCATACTTTTCTTTTGATATTTAGTTCTCTGAGAATTGTGGCACCAGTCTAATCAGGTTGGTGCTGACAGAGGCTGTTACTTCACCCTTGAGTTGGCCAGGAGCTAATTCCTTAGATAAAGTCTGACTAACCCTTCTTCTCCTTGGCTGATGCATTTCTGATTCCTGAAACCTTGCAGATCTTTTCTTGCTGGTTACAGAAAAGCAGCTGTTTCTTTGTTGGTTTTGCACTTTTGATCTTTCCTTTCTACTTTGGCTGGACTGTTGAAATTCAGCTTTTTCCTTCACTTATTGATTGATGAACACTCAACTTGAAGTGTGTAGCAGGCTAATTAATCCTAGCAGGGATTAGGTGAGACTTCTGGGAGCTTGAAGATTCTAGATTCTCAAACAGGGGGAGATTGAAGTTTCTAGATGTCTCCAACAGTGGGATATCTGTGATTCTGTGATCTTCCAAGCTAATGGCAAAAACTCCAGAATACAGTAACAACAGTATCAACAGATACAAAAACAGATACAAAAACAATACAGATCAACAGTAACAAAATGTCATCTTTAGAGCCTTGAGTAGATCTTTTGATTTGGTGTTGGTCAAGGTCTTGATCCCTAGTCAAGAATCAGCATATTGGAGGCAGCATCAAGGTTTTTTGTACACAGTCTGAGAAGAATGCCAGATCTGAATATGCTCAGAAGACCAAACTCTTCCCATTTCTGTGGTTGGAGTGAGAGTGCTGGAGAGAGATCCTTCCCTACCTTGTTTTTTGAACAAGTTCTATGGTGGTGTTGGATCCCCTCACGACCCACCTGCTGGCGTTCCTGGTGGGACTGCTGGGAGCTGTTAGCCACACAGGGGATTCCTAAACCCCAGTGCTGGAAGTCCTGCCAGCTCTCCCTCCCTCTCTTCTGTTGGCCAAAGTGGAGTAGCTCAGTCCTGTCTCCTCCTTCTTGTTCCCAGGAATGACCCACGAAGATATTGTGCAGGAATCTAAGAAGTACTGGCAACAGATGGAGGCACATGCCAGCAAACCAACCAACAGCATGGTAAGGTGCATCTCAGGCTTGCAGCCTGGTTTTGCTCCTAACTGTTCGAGCACTTTTTCTCACTTTTCCTCCTACTATAATGCCTTGTGCCTAACAGGTCCCAGCAAACCAGGCTGGCCATAGAGGAGGAGGACAGCTGTGAGCTTTCTGTTTTGCAGTGCTTGTGATGATCTTTGCACCTTGTTTATCAACATTGTATGTGCTCAGTTCAGTGGTGGAGAAAAGCCCTCAGAACAGAGAGGGCAGCACACAGAGAATGGTGCTTCTTGCAACATCTTGCTAGTGAAACTGAGAGACTTTGGGGGTCCTGTCCACACAAAGGGATCAAAGATGTCCTGCTGCCCTTTAGTGGCCAAGGGATGATATGGCAATCTGGAAGGACTGTAAGAAATAACTCATGATCCATGGGGCTGCTCTTAACATGGGAGTGTGTGGAACTTGTGGCTTAGGTACTGTTGGGACTGGTCAGAAGCCTTGGTGGCACCTTGACAGGGGGACAATGTGAGCTTTGTCTTTGCTTTGTTTCACCAGTCTCTCAATATAGGAAAAAATGTTTTTGGCTGCACTTGAAGCACAGCCAAGAGATTTCTCTGGAGGGGCGTGTTTCAAGCAAAGAACACGTCTTTGTTTACTTTATTCCAGCTCACTAGCTATGGGTGGTGCCACCTTACCCTTTCGTTCCTCCAAGGAGGTGTTCTGTAGCATAGGAGCAGAGCCCACCTAGTGAGGTTGATTCCTAGCCCTGAGATTGAACTAAAGCAGTTTTCTGTCATTAGAACAGTGATTTTCTGTTCCTTAGTTACTTTCAAAAGGTAAATCTGGTGAAATTTATAAATGTTGTGCCTCCTGGCAAGCTCTCAAGGGTAGGCACAATCCTCTCCCCTGCAAAATGGTGGAGAATGTGTTGTGAATCCATTTTATTCCCATCTGACAGCTTTCTTCCCCTTCTGGAGGCCTAAACCTACTACTACTTGGCCTGTGCCTTACTGTCAGGGCAAGGGTGATTCACCTCTGTTTGGGACCTCCCACCAAGAGTTTCCTTGTACTACTGAATACAGCTTCTGAGCGTCCTGGAAGAAAATGCATTGTAGAACAGAGGTCTGAGTCACTCACATTGTGTATGGCAGCTTTTTTTGGCAAGCCACCAGAAATATTCTGAAGGCCAGGGTGCTGCTGCTGGGAAAAGTGGCTGTGATCAGCGTGGGTTATTCCACTGGGAAAGACTCAGGTGACTTGCAGTGATGATCTCAGTTTGCTGTATGCCCAAGTATCTACTGGTTATGCTGCATGAGATGGAGTCATCTTTGAGGAAATGCTCAGCAGCGTACATCCATATTCTGCTGTCATGGTCTGAAATGACAGGGGAAGAGGGTGCTGACTGAGGAATGGGAAACAGCAGTCAAGAGTAACCAAGGTCACTAGGCCCCAAAGCTGTCTGACTTGCCTAAGTAGCTTGTTCTAGCCTGTCAGGAAACTGTATTTTTGGTCCTGAAGGTATGAGATACGTTCTTACCATCTGTATTATGTGAGAAATGAAAAATCTGGATGGTTCCATCAGACAGAGCTGCCTATGCTCTCTTTCTAGCCTGGCATAGAGGCGGAGACAGATACCTACATCTCCACAGGGGAGGAAACTAAGTATGAATCTGCAGCAGTTTGTGACAGTAGTTGGATCTATCTCAGCAGTCCCTGCCCCATGGAGAATGAAGTCTAGTGACTGGTTCTGTCCTACCTGCAATGGAGCTGCCAGTGTTTTCCAGAAAGCTCTGTCTTGTCATTCTCTGTATAATGTTGGGGTAAAACAATATCAATGGACATCTGTATTTTTGAAGCCTTGCAACATCAAGTTCACCTTTCACTGGAGGTGCTGCTGTTAGAATAAACTAAAGGCATGGTCAGAGCATGTCCACTGAAGCATGTGAGCTCTAGATGCTGAGTAAGGGTTTCATTTCTGGCTGCTAGGGCTTGCAGGGGCAGAGGCTGAGAAAAAGAAATGCCAGCGCTGTTACAACAGCCATCAGGGGATTGGCAGAGAGCTATATTTTCTGGGTCTTATGGGCAGTGTTTCATACTGATGGTCAATACAAAGTCTGGTTGTGCCCCACACATGCCTGATGCAGAGCTGGATTTACCCTGAGCCCTTCCAGGACTTCAGTTTGTTCAGAGGTGAAGCAGCAGCCTTGTTGGTACAGTCAGAATGTGCTTACTAGTGGCACCATCAATTATCTGTGGGACTTGGCAGCCTATCACGGGGTAGTGAGACAGTCAAGTCAGTCAGACATCTCTGTTTGCAGTAGCAGACCATGGCTTGGGAATCAACACATATTCAGGCAGAGGGCTCTGCTCTGGGATGAGACACAGGCTTGCTGCTGAAGACCCTGGCGGCAGGAATAATGTATCTGTTGAGAGATGTTTTCTTTTGCTATTATGTTCCCCAGTTCAAGCAGGCTAATGTGACTCAGAGTTTTCTCAGTGTCCTTCCAGCTTTTGAAGTTGGCCTCCTGGCAAAGACAACTTCCCAGGACTACTATAAAAGCAGACCTCTTCTTCCCATCGTCCAGTGTGATCCATGCTTGCCCTGGTGCCCTCCGGTCAGTGGAAGCAATGTTCTTCCCAGGGATTTTGCAGCAGCTTTGTCACAAGCAGTCAGTTGGACACAGCAGCTGAGGGCTACCCAGTTGTGAAAAAGAGGCAGGCAGCATACAGGCACCTGGCAGCTGTGATGATACAGAAGATCTAGTAAGAAATGGAATATGATGATACTTCTTGCTGAACACTTGGCAGGGAGCTCATATGTAGGCTGCAATGGGAATAAGCCCCGTGGCTGCTGATGAAAGAGGCAGTCATTCATCAGGAGAGACAGTTGTAGGTAGTTGGGAGTTCTCAACTCCCAGTGCATCCCAGGAACTGAGAGGTGTAAGCCCTTGTTTTTTCTTTTTTTTGAGGGCTGTTTTGTTTCACCCCACTGGCCAGCTGCAGAACTGCCACACAAACTAGTCCCAGAATTAGCAACTTCAGCAGGGAGAGGAAAGGATCATCCCTCCCTGTCATAAGGGAGACTTGTGCCTAAATACAGCTCACTCAGGTGACCTGGGCTGCTATGTTGTTCCCCAAGGGCACACGGATCCTCCAGATAACATTTTAGTATGACTGAAAAGACTTCCTGTAGCTGAGAGACATGCATGGCAGTGCTGGGGCTTTGCTTTTTGCAAATCCTCAAGTGGAGAGCTGTTGTGCCAAAGACTTTTATTTATTTGGTTGCCATGGTGCATAGCTAACACTATATTGCCTGGCTTTAGATCAAGGGGTGGTACCACAGCCGGAGGCACTTTTGCCTGGCTTGGTCTGCTACAACCTCATGTGATACTAATTTCCACACTGCTGGTTATCAACAGCCTGCCAGGTATGTGTCTTGCCTTTACAAATACAATCATGTAGTGGCAACAGCAGCAGCTTTGATTTTTGTTTTACTCCTAATCCCCTGGGAGCATACATGCCCACTGGATTATTGACCAGCAGTTGGTAAGACTCCCATGACGAAATGCATAGGGCTTCATTTTGTCACAAATTTCTGAAAAAGCAGCTTAGAGCACCAGAATTACCTGAGAAACATATTCTCTCTCTCTTCGATCTATTGTGACTTCTGGAGCCACTCAGTTTTTCCTTCTGCTGGTTCAGTAGATTTGAGCTGAGCTTTCTGGCTGTGCTGCAGAATGTGTTGCCTGGTAGATTATAAGGCAGATAGCACTGGGCTGATAAGAGCCAGTATTCCAGCAGTACTGTCTTATTATTTCAGCCCCATAGGTATGGTGGGTCAGTGGCAAACTGTAATTTTCTTTAAACACCAAATGGAGATTAAAACTACTGCTGAATTGCCACATTTGAGAGCGAGACACCTTACTGCCTTCTATGATATCCCAGACCTCAACCCTGTTGATGCTGCAGCTGGCCACTTTACTGTGTTCTTGGTGGTCACCAGCATCAGTGAAGACGAACAGATGAACAAGTCATATCGCAGATGCCACCAGAAAGGCCACCTTGCAGGCAAGTAGGCCAGAATCAACACTGCTTTGCAATAGAGATGGTGGTTCTCCAGAAGTCCTTTTGCAGTGAGAACCTTGCAGTCAGCACAGGCAAAGGTTACCTCTCTGGATAGCTTTTCACAGAGCCAGAGAGTCTCTGTCTGCCAGATCTGCTTTGAAAGACTGGATCTGACAGATGCAGAGTGGTAACCAGTAGCTTATGTAGTGTTTCCTGGGAGATGCTTTGATTCTGCACCTCCCTGCATTTGCTGCTTTCCTTTTGCCAGATGATGCATGCAGGATTGACATTACTGCTGTTGCTGGCAGAAGCCAGCTCCTCTGGGACACTGCTTGCCTGTCTGTTCCTTATGAGATGCTCAAGATTAGAAATGAAGGCATGGCAGCTGTGGGAGCTGCTTGTGTGGTTAGCAGCTAGTGAGCTGCTTACTGATACGTTACTCTTGTGCTTCATGGTTGGCTCCATCACCAGGATGTTCCATATACCCGTGCCCAGAGCTGCTGGCTTGCAGTCAGGTTTGGTCTTTGGTTTGGAAATGAACAGGAGACACTAGCATTGTGTCTGCTAGTGATGGTATAAAGTTTAAATGACTTTTCAGAGATTTGCTGAGATAATGCAAGACAGTGGTGATATGGGACTTGCTTAGATTGTTGGGTTTTTTCCTGCACAATCTGTTGGTCATAATCCCAAAGCATCCACTTGTGATGATGACAGGTAGAAGGCCAATTAAGCTAAGTGGCTGAGAGGATATGAAGTGTGGGTGTTTATGGTTGTACCTCTGTTCAGAGATTGTAATTAACTGCCTGTGAAACCCATAGTAAGGGAACTATGAGGGGTGGAAACCTGCCCAGAAATGGCTTTAAAAACTATTAACAAGAGGACCCAATCTGATTTTGGTGTTTCAAATGCTCAGTGTAACACGAACCTCTTGGTCCAGAAGCAGCTCCTGCCTCGTGTCACAGCCTGGCTTCCTCCCCAGGGGATCCTCTCTGTGCATAGCAAGGAGGATGTGGGTTGCCCTCCCTGTGGGGAAGCAGGGATTAAGCACTGGGGCAACTCTTGCAGAGCTTGTCTGTACATGGAGGTATGCTGCAGGGGTTTGGCAGCCAGGCCTGGTCAGTGCTGGAAGTTGCCAGGCTGGCTGTGCACTTGGCCAGAAGTCAAAATGCAGGAAATCATGCTGAAGCAAGCACTAGTTTCACTCCCGTCTGGTATTTCAATGGGCCACCAGCTAACTCTGGTGAAGGAGAGCTGGGCTGTCTCTTTTTAATCAACTAGATGCTGGAACATGGGAGCTGCCACTGTGGCATTTTAGGGCATGTGTTTTGGCTCTGTTTGCCTGAGGTGCTGGTTCTCTTCCCCAGGCTTCACCCCGGGCTCCAACATCAAGCACCTTTGACCTCCAGATGAAATTTGTGTGTGGCCAATGCTGGAGAAATGGACAGCTGGTGGAGCCAGATAAAGACCTCAAGTACTGTAGTGCCAAAGCCCGCCACTGGTGAGCAATGCAACCTCCTCTTCTTCCCATCCCTCCTGAAGGGCAGGAATTTCTCCTCTTACATTCTCCAAGGCTTCATTTGGCATTGTTGGAAGAGGTTGTAAGGTTTCCTAGCAGCCTCTTTGTCCTCAGGGTGTTTTATAGTGAGCGTTGCAGGTAGCTGTTTTCCAGTTTCCAGCTCTCTTTATTACTGCATGTATCTGCTGCCAGCACCGTGCATGGTGCATCACAACCAGACTCTTAATCTTAGTGCTTGCAGTCCAGCTCCTGCGATTCCATTTCCTCCAGCTGCTATCATTACTCCTTAGCAAGGTCACTAAAATAGTTCTGCTCTGCGCTTGTTTATACTCTGTGCTGTTTGAAGATGTCTGTCATGTCACTATTAGCAATTAATCAAGGCGTTGTATTTCTTTTTAAATTAGTTTCCTTGGCCCTTTCATTGCTTTTGTTGCTCTTCTCTGACATAAGTCTTGTCTGTTTGTACCTCCTAGTTACATGGAACCCATTGGGTTTGATAGAAAGGGAATATTGGCTGGAAATAGGCCATTGGTCCATGGAAACTGTGTCCCCTCTCACCCAGGCAACTTGGCAGCACAGGATGGAAAGGTTTATAGGACATCAGTTCCCAAAACACAAGCCACATAGGTACAGTTCAGCATCCTATTGCAAATGTTAAGACCTTTGATGAAAAGAGACAGAGGCAGGAGTTGCTGGAGGAAGTGAGAAGGAAAGGATTACTTCTTGAAATGGGAAGATAACACCTCTATGCAGCTACTGAACAGAGCTGGGGCTTTTGCCCAGGGTATTTCCTGGTGATCACTTGCTGATGCTGCCTGAGTATTAGTACTTAATGTTCATAAGACAGTGCTTGTAATGACTTGCATTTCTGCTGTACCTTTCAAGCAGAAAAGATTCCCAAATGTTTTCCATGGATCTTGTTGCAAAAGAATTGGCTGTGTCAAAGGGTGGAATGCAGCTGTTTAGTAATCCATAGTGATGCCACACAAGACGTGGGGGAAACTTCTGTGGCTTTACAAAAAAATATATCCCAGAAAACATGTAAGAAGTAGAGGGAGAAATCCTCCTAAACACCCTTCTTCTGACTCCTCTGCCAAAGATGTGGATATCTAGGAGCAGGTAGATAGCAGCAGGGACAACTGGAGGGTCTGGTCATCACTCTCTATTCAAGAGATCTCTGAGGAAAACAAAGCTTTGTTTTGCTCTTCCTTTAATCTTGACTGATTTATTCTCTCTTCCTTAGTTGGACAAAGGAACGTCGAGTTCTGCTGGTGATGTCCAAAGCGAAGAAGAAGTGGGTGTCTGTCCGACCACTGCCTTCCATCCGCAACTTCCCACAGCAATATGATGTAAGCCTCATAAATGACTTGGCCAAGTGCCCCTTTCCTCCCACCATTGTGCGGTGCTTTGAGGCATGCTCTGTTGTAGACCTGTCTGGGAAGCAGGCACGTGGTATTGGCTGAGGTGTGAGAACAGGACAAACTGAAGGCAGCAAGGTCTCAGATGCATCCAGAAAAATGGTGGTGCAGGAAAAGGAGCAGCACTCATTTGAAACACTCAGTTACATACGTATGCAAGTTTCCATCACTGTTGTTAATGCAGTCACCATCTCTAGAACTGATTGGCACAGGGTTTGGAGATGAGGTTTAAGGCTTCCCTTAGGTCAAGGTTTCTCAGTGTGGGTGAGAGGCGAGATGGAGTACTGGGGAGAAGCCTACCCCTGCCTTTGCTGTGTCTGGGCTGCTGTCTATTGTGAAATTTGCCCAAATTGTGTTTTGAAAGCTGAACGAAGAACTCAACTAAAAAAGCCTCATGCTATGAGGAAGACAACAGATATCCAACCTCTTCCCCTAGCTCCAAATATGGCAAACAGTTATCACTCTCACCCTCTCTTTTCCTTTCTCCCTAAAAAGGAAAAGCTCCTCTCCTTGCTGCCCCATGGGATCCCCTGTATCATGTGCAGATGGAAGGTGAGGCCTTTGGCACTCTCCAGTTGAAGGCCCGTTGCTGGAGGCTGGGAGGGGGCAGCAAGAGATTACTATGGTTGCTGCAGTAGGAGATAAGGCCCCTGTGAGTCGAAGGTCACACAACAAAGGCAGGTTCCCATAGGCCTATCTTTGCCTGCTCGGAGATGGCTGGAGAATGTGTCACCTTTGGGGCCAGCAGTGTGACCAGCATTGTTGGGTCAGTCCAGGTTGGTCCCTGCTATTTTTCCCCAGGGCCAGCTGCATGTGGAAAAGGCACTTAGAGAGGCCAGGTGCTGAACTGAGCTGCCTCTGTGTTTATAGGGAAATCTTACCTTTCATGTCATAGGGAGCTTGAGGAAAAGAGGCATGAGTTAATGATGTATGATGTGTCCTGTTTTGTGACCTCTCCTGTGTGCAGTTTAACACCCTTATTGTTTTTTTGAGTCCATTTTCCCCTCCAGCAAGGAATGTTTGTGCAGATGCTAATTTTTGCTCTCTGTCTTTTAACAGTTATGTATCCATGCACAAAATGGCAGGAAATGCCAGTATGTGGGCAACTGCTCCTTCGCCCATAGTCCTGAGGAGAGAGACATGTGGACCTTCATGAAGGAAAATAAAAGTGAGTGTGGGAAATGTGGGCTGTGGATGCAAGGTCTGTTCAGACTTATTCCTGACAAGGTGTTACCCTGGCAATTCCCCAGAAAAGCTTCAGTGGCACTGACATCAGCTGAACTCCATGCAGCTTTGTGCCCATGGGAGCAGAGTAGGACCAGTGGAGGGACCGTATTGTTTATTCAGACCAACAGCGAGCTGGGGAAAAAAGATTCTTTGCAATGCCCAGTTTTTCAAGTGCTTACCTAGCTCTGGTGGGAGCTGCTGATAAGCTCGAAGGATTTCCTGAAGGTTGTTCAGTTTTTGTGCTTGGATAGAGGGTCTTTCTCTGCTGTGCCAAATGCTATTGTTTGTTGTGGTTCAAGAGCTTTTGTTACTGGGCCTTTTTTAAGCACATCAGACCAGTTTGGGTGTGTTTGTTCGAGCATGAAGGTGAATCTTCAAACAACAGCCATTGTTTCAGTTTGGGGCAATTTGCATTAATTATTCCCCATTACCTTGAGTTCTTCAATTACCTATTTAATGAGGAGTAAATCACTAACTCATTGCATTTAGAACGTCACACTGCTATCTGTAAATTCTTATTTTTCCATGGCCTATTTCACAAATTGATCTTGAAAAGGCAGATATGCAGTCAAATCTTCCAGCCAAAATTTCTCAGCAGCATCCCAAATGGGTTTTAAACCAAAAGCACCAAGTCACATGGATTGCACTCCTCTGGGCAGGGTTTGAACTCTGGGGCAGGCTATCACTAGGTCTTCCTCCCCTCCCTAGTGCTTCCTGTGGCCAGCTTGCTTATGGGCTCTCCTCCTCCTTGAGCACTGAGGACGAAGTGTAGGCTTAGAGGAAGGGGATGGAGAGAGGAAAGGGGATCCAGCCCCTGCGTTTGCTGTGGCCGCAGTGAGACGCCTGCTGGGGTCAAGCAGAATCAAGCCTGATGGAGAGTCACCTCATGGGTTAAAGTCCACGGGGATCTTGGGGCATCTTCTGTCCTTCCTGCATACTTTGTGTACCTGCGGTCATGGATGCCCCTTGACTTGTAAAAGACAGCTCCTCATGACAGGTTGGGAGATGTAAATTAGCTCCTCTGCCCACAGCTCTTATCTGGGGAGGTGACACTGAGCCTGCTGAGCACTGGCCTGAGCTCTGATGGCAGGAGTTGCTGCACTGGAGAGGGGAGGAAAGGGCTGCCCCACCATTCATCCTTTTCTTGTAGTTTGTGCACGGTGCGGGAGGTTGTCTGAGTGACTTCACGGGTCGCCTTTGTGCAGTACTAGATATGCAGCAGACCTATGACATGTGGCTAAAGAAACACAATCCTGGGAAGCCTGGAGAGGGAACACCACTCACTTCGCGAGAAGGGGAGAAACAGATCCAGATGCCCACTGACTATGCTGACATCATGGTAAACAGCTAATCTCTTGTCCTTCATCCTTCTCCTTCAGTGCTCCAGGTATAAGCCAGCAGGGGCTGAATTGCTTTTCTGGGAAAGAGCCTGTGCTGATGTAGGTTAAATGGACAGCTTGGAGCAGCACAGATGAGGTGGGAGGGGATTTACCTGGGGCAAGAAGGCTTTGCAACAGCTTTTCTGTTAATCCTCAAATGAGTAGGCATCTACCTTGTGCTCCCTTTTGCACGGGCTCAGCCTCTCCCCAGGATTCCTGCTCCTGGGGAAGCTGGGAAAGCCACTGCTGGCCTGTGAGAAAAGAAGGGGAACCTTGGAGATGAGCTGTGTGTAGAGCACAGAAACCTGAGAAAATCAAAGGCAGGTGTGTCTCCTTAGCCGAGGAATGGTGGCTGGGGAAAGAGTTTGTGCTCCTGAGGGGTCTTGTGCTGCCTGAGTGCCTCACAGTCAGCTTGAGCTGTGGGTAGACTCAGAGCATCTCCTCTGCTCGCCTTCAGCAGCAGCGTAATGACCAGAAGATGATGTGTCAAGGGAGAGTGCAAGGTCTTAGAGTGAGGTGAATATCCAGGATGCTCAGGAGGGAGATGGGAAGAGGTGATGCCAGCATAAGGAAGGCGGTGAGTGTGAATATTGATGCGCTAACTGGCCTTTTGCCTTTTCTGCACCCATTAGATGGGCTACCACTGCTGGCTCTGCGGGAAGAACAGCAACAGCAAGAAGCAATGGCAGCAGCACATCCAGTCAGAGAAGCACAAGGAGAAGGTCTTCACTTCAGATAGTGACTCCAGCTGCTGGAGCTATCGCTTCCCTATGGGCGAGTTCCAGCTCTGTGAAAGGTACCATGCACACGGCTCTGTTTGATCCCAGAAGTGACGACTACTTAGTGGTAAAAATACATTTCTAGACACACAGCTTCAGAAAAGGAGAGCAAGCTTCAAGTCTGCCCTTTGTAGCCATAATGTGCTCAGCTCTTGATCTGCTAAATAGAGTCTGCTTGGCTCAATTCTTGGGGGAATCCCAGATGCTTTATTAAATTGTTTGAATGGCTCACGCCCTCTGAATCAGTGCCTTGAGGTGCCTTCAGAAGGCTTGTGATGGTTAGAAATGCCATTTTGGTTAGAGAGAAGGCTGTGTCTCTTGTGGCTGCTTTAGAATTTCCTGGCATTTCCTCTCTTGGGTGGTGGCTTCTTCTTGTCCCTGCTGGTCCAGCTCTAGCTCACACCATTTCATTCTTTTGACTGAGTCTCCTCATAGGTGCTGCTGTTTCTGCATCCAGCTTCTCTCTTTGCCTCCCTTTGGCTGCACGCAGGTTGTAGAAGAATCACCTCCCCCTTAGCAGGGAGAGTCTGCAGCCAGTTTTGGTGTCCACCCAGTGGAGTCTCAGAGAGCTCAAACCCCCTGTCCCAGTGAGGGATCCCTGCTGACAGTGCTGCTTGTGCTGGCAGGTTCCAGAAGAGCAAGGCCTGCCCCGAAGGAGAAGAATGTCGCTATGCCCATGGCCAGGACGAGCTGACGGAGTGGCTAGACCGCAGGGAGGTGCTGAAACAGAAATTGGCCAAAGCCCGCAAGGACATGCTGCTCTGCCCCCGGGACGACGACTTCGGGAAATACAACTTCTTATTGAGGGATGGTGTATAGTAAGGGCCGGGGGGGGGGAGAGCCTGTTGGCTGGAGAAATGCAGGGCGGGTTTTCTGAGTGAGGCAGTAGCAAGGCGAGCATCCGTGTCTCGCAAAGAGAACTTTTTCTTTTCTTTCGTTTTAAGATTTTGAGATGATGATTTATTAGTGGTGAATGAAAACGTGAATTTAATTCTCCTTGGCCAGCGAACGCCATGCTCACTGAGTTTGTGGTCCATCTTCTCTCTGTTATTTCCCCTAAATTCTCCTTTCTCTCCATCTTTTTGTTTTCACTGTCCTTCATTTAATGGAATGGATCCAGTCTGTACTGGGATGTGAATGAGAATTTTTCCTTATTGTTCCCCTGCCCTTCAATTGGGACTGTGGCTGCAGAGGTCAGGAAGAGAGAGCTGAGAGAAAGGGCTAGACATCTGCTGAAAAGGGGACCATGAAGTTCATGTGCTTCTTTTCTCAGTGCTGCAGAGCAAGCATCGCAACTGGCCTGCTTTCTTGGGAGTTCAGTACGAGAAGAACTGGGAATTGAGATGCAAAGAAAAGCCACAAGATGTGGCTTAAAACATCTGGGTTTACACCCCTACTGATTATATTCTGCTGAGGCATCAACTGGAGCTGAGGGGGGTAACAGCCATCTAGTAGAAAGAGTGCAGCTAAGTGCAGCAAAGTAATTACACTTTTTACAATGGTGGGAACTACATTGTAAGAACCTATAGACTGTTTTGGCTGACTGTAACCAGGAAACAAGTTGGTGATGCCTTACTAGATGTCTTTCTCAAGTGTGCAACATGTTTTTGGAGTGGGTGGTTTTGGTTTGTTATTTGTCTGGTCTGACTGGTGCAAGTAAGACAGCAAAGTCATCTAGGAGGTGTACTGGAGACTTTGATGTGCCATGTGTCACTATACTCCACACAGCAAGAACAGTCAGGAAGAAGGCTGTAACCAAAAGGAGTCTGTATTTCTCTATCTGCTTGTGTCCAGGAAGGAGGCAGTGAGGTTCCCTTCTTGCTCTCTAAGTGGTGCGTGTTGGTAGTTACTTAGAGCTGAGCTTTATACTGCACCAGCAGATGATGAGTTGATGGTTGGACTAGATGATCTTAATGGTGTTTGCCCACCTTAATGATTCTATGAACTGGATGGGGATTGAATTAGAAGGACACCATCAGGCAGTATGGGTGTAATGTGGAGGGCCTGGCACTGGTCATGCTTTGCTGATGGGAATTCAGCTGGAAGCACATTTACAAGTGCTAAAGGTCCAGTCCAGACTCACTGGGCCTCAGCCCCCTGATGGTTCTCCATCAGGGCTGAACCTCTGGCCAAGATTTTTGGTTTTCATGGTGGCAGCAGTGAGAGGCCTCATTCTGTATGCCAGCCTTATTCTTTCTGGTGTTCCTATCCTGTAAGTAGTAAACATGTCTTATCCTGAGCTTCCCTCTCATGTCTCCTACATCAGCTGTGCTCTGCAGTTTTGTTTGCATGGATGGCATCATCTTGTCCAACACAAAAGCATCTCCTTCCCTGCCTTCATGATGATGTCTTTTTTGTATACAGGTTCCCAGAACAGCAAGCTGAGAGCCCTCGGGGCTGGCAGACAGCATTGTATCCATGGCAAATACAATTTGGCTGTGTTCCACATGGTGCTTTGGCATTGTTGAGTCCCACTTTACCCTGCCTGCTTCCATATCCTTCGGGTTCCCAGCTTTGACAAAGATGGGACATGATAATAATATGCAGGAGATGCTGTGGGAACAGCTGGCACCTTTCTAAACCAGCCTCCAGGTAGCTGCATCAGCAGCACTGAGATAGTTATGGCCCGGGAGCAGAATGTGCTGCATGCTGGTCTTGGGTCTTTCTAGTAGTATGATGTGCCCCAGATAAGCCACATGTGCCTCTGAGCTTGCTTCCTCACCTGTAAAAACACAGAGGGGGTCATTGTTTTCATAGGAGGTTCCCTTCTTGGCTGCACACCACCTTGAGATCTGCCCTGAAAGGGGCCTGGGCTGTAGCATCTGATGAAACATGAGTGGCTTATGGTAGATCAGGGAGATGAGGGGATGGAAGTAGCCATTTCCAGCTCTGCCCATATGAGAGGTGAAGGATGAGAGCCAGAAGAATCTGCACGGATGGAGAAAAAGAATGACCAATGCAATATCAGATATGGCATTTTTTGAGAGCTAAGGTACTGTGTCTTCTCTGCTCTTTGTTGTTCAGATTGTATCTTCTGCTGGTGCTCCTTGTGCTGCTCAATTTTATGAATAGAGAAGGAGAGGGGAAGTGATAGGCACCAGCTCCTGGGTTATCTTGTCCTGCTGGGCAGAGATGCCAAGGAACTAATCTGGACTGGGAAATGTTGGAATATGTTTTTATTTTTAATACAAATCTGCATCTCTAGTGTGATTCAAGCGTTCGCTGAGCTGTGATTTCTCATACAGTAACTTGTTTTAGGTTCCAGAGTGGGTCATTGTCCCCTCTCCCTGTCTCTGCATGGGGAGCTGAGCTGCTCAGTGGGACTGAGATGGGGAGAGGCCAAGCATGCGTGAGGGGAGGGAGGCCCACGGTCACGGGTGTTGCGTTGAGTATCTCTTTTTGTTTTCCCTGATATGATAACCTGGTCTGTGGTGTTGCAGTACTTTGTCACCAGACTTGTTTTAGTGTGTATATATGTGACCCCTCCCATGAAGCATATATACACAGGTATTAAATATATCGCTCTATATAATATTATATGTGTGTGGTATCAAAGGAATCTTTTTAATGAGGGTAAAGGAAAAGGACTCGGGCCAGGAAACGCAGCATCTCCATTTAAAATATGAAGGCTTCTATTTGGATTAGGGAAAGGGAAATAACAGAGGGGAGGGTTTTATATAGATAGTATAAATTCTGAGATGGGGCAGGTGTCCTGTTCATGCTTTTAAAACCCCCTAGGATGTCCTTACAGTCCCATCTCAGTGAAAGGGTATTATACTGCTAATTAGCGAGTGAAGTTTTCACAATAAGGCTTTGCTTATATTATCTAAAGGGACATTGTAAAAGGCAGGAAGCTTCACACTTGGCTTCCCAGGCTCACTTATTGAGTCAAGAGGTTTTTCTTCAGCATGTTATGTACTTTCAGTAGAAATGCTTGGCTCTCTCAGCTCCACAAGAGCCCCACAGGTAAGTTGCAGGGCTGCTTTAGCAGTGCATTCGCAAGACCCTCTGATAACTCTCTCTTTTATTCATTCTTCTGAGGGAAGAAGAAAATTTTGCAGTGTGGAACCAAGTCCAAGGGTTATTAACAATGCTTTGATTTTATAACATTAGAAGAAAATCTCACGTCCTGTAGAATAATCACACACACAGAGTAGAGACTTTGATTTAGATCAGCTTGTTAAATGCTGAAGGACTTGGTGAGAATCTCTTCCCAAATCCTTTGGTAAGGGGTCAAGGTTAAAGTGATGCTGGTGTGAACCTGACCTTTACGAGGGGAAGGAAAAACAAATAAAATACCCTACTTTGCTTGTATGAAACTGTATGTCAAAAACAAATGGGTTTTAGCATGTGAAAGGAAAAGATAGCAAGGGGATGCTGCAGTTCTGAGCTGGGTAGTAATGATTTCGAGTCCTTTAATATGTCTTTGTATTAATATAATTTAAGAATACCACGCTTTACTATTAAAAAAGAACTTAGTATCTTTCATAAGGTCTAGTATCAGGATAATAATGTAGATGTTTTAACAACATTTTTGTTTTTGTTCTTAAAAAAAACAACAACAAAAAACTTGCTTCTTTTAGCCTTTGTAATAGAAAATAAAAGTGTGCACTTTAAACCCTCTTCTGACACAGTGTGTGTTTGCATTTTTCAAATAGCCCACAAAGGCTTCTTATCCAGGTTCCAGGTTTCCTTACTGTAAGGAGGGAAGCAAGGAGAGTACTTCTGGCATTGGATCATTTTTGCTTTCTACCTTCCTTCCATATAATCTACTGCTCATCTTGCCAAGTAGAAAATTGCGTACATCTTTACCAACAGATTCTGCAGTTCACCTCAATCTAGAGATTGCTCTGCTGTGCAGACTGCTCTGTTCAGCTGGATCAGCCAGTTGTGCACTTTGCCAAGGAAATGCCCTTATTCCCATCCCAAGTCACATACAGCTCAAGCCATGAAAAGTGTTGGTGCAGATTCCCCCTGGTGGGATGCTGTGTGAAGGTCATACCTGGGGGACAACAGCAGTATGTTAACATTTATTAATAAAACTTTATTTTTTCCCTGCCTATACATCATGATGCAGATGAAGTGCCAAAACTGAAAATGGGACAAAGACAAGGGAGTCCCATGGATGCACCCTGCTACTGCTCTACAAACTGCAGGAGTGACTAGAAGGTCAGACTCAGTGAGACCTAAGGAGGGGAGTTGATAGACATCTTCCTAATGTGCCCGGATGCAAGCATGACAGCTCAGGACCTTCTGGTCAAAGGAATGCAAAGGAGAGGATACAATATTAGAGTGCAGGGAGAATGAGATGGGTGCATTTTTAAATGCATTGACTGAATATGTACAATATGTGAGGCATTTGTTTTAGCCTCCACAGACAACTGAGACCCTGCTGGCAAGAGTGATTGTAGCCTTTCCAGTTCAGTGGAGACCAAAACTGTCAAACTGTGAGGCAGACAAAGCATAGGGAGAAAAACAAAAGTACTAACTGCAGTGTTTTCCTGGCAAACCTGAGCTTCAGCTGTAAACTCCTCACTGAAGAATAGCAATGTACACTTTGAGGAGGCAGGAATAGGAGTGGTGGCTTCACCCTCCCAGGAATTTCAGCAGACATGAAGGCAAAGGGGAGAGCACAAGTTCAGCCAGGAAGGATTTGGGTCTGATGGCAAAATGAAAGGAGCTAGGGAAGGGACCTTCTCCTTGAGAGGCAAGAGAAAGGCTGCCTTTAATGCTACGATGCAGCAGTATGGCAGAGGCAGTTTGCCTTCCAAAGTCCTTAAGTTGCAGATGGAATTCCTAAGCAGTTTTGTGACTGAGTCTGTCTTCCCACACTACAGGGAAACATTTCTGGGCAGTGACAGCAGGTGATGTAAACGTGGTCATCACTGTTGATTGTTTGTAGCCACCATTGCAAC